AAATTTGTAGATCTCCTACCACTAACAATCTGGGGCAACAGTATGGGATTAACTACCTGGATTTTTATAGTGCCTCTCCACAGTTCCCATCACACAGTGGGGGCATATGTTTCTCTCAATGTAGATCACATTTAATGACTTTTAGCTGACTTGCAAAAATACAAAAAAATAATTATAATTCGCCGTGTTACGTTATTTTGTCTAAGTACAGAGATGAAGTGGCCTATTAGCACATTCTGAAAATTCTGAGAAACCAACAGGAAACATGCATTAGAATTGCTGCAAAACGTTATGATACCGCCATGCTAACTAGCGGTAGTAGTTTTACTCATGCACAAAAGCTCCATGATCTATATTTCTAATCAACTTTATTCATATAGCACATTTTAACAACAATACGTTTCCAAAGTGCTGCACATAAGACCACAAAAACAATACAACCAAAGCAGTACTAATTAGCTCCACCACTGGTAAGTAATGAATACAAATAAAAACCCGTTTTTATAAAAAGAGCCATAAAATACAAATTATATATCCCACTTATCTCTCACTATATTAAAACATGCATGCAGTGACAGCAGACAAGCAGGTCAAACCTTCATAAAATAGACCCATGGACTTCCCCAAAAGTGCCCTGCTGACTCACTCCCATGACAGAAGGTGACTGAAGGTGCAGTGTGAATGAGTGACTGATCGAGGGCCTTGGAACATCCTTCACCAAGTCTCCTGTCTGGACAAGTCATATCAAACAAATTGGGGGATAATAACAGGCCAGAGGGAGAACAATGTTAAAACTAATTCTCAGATTTAATTCCGTACAAACACCAGTCTTCACCAGTGACGTCTGTGCCGCAGAGGACACAGCACAGTCCACATTGGGGCACACGGAGGGACAGAGGCAGGAGAACGTCTTTTAAAGGAGTGCCACTTGACTGGTCATTTCCTTCTAACCTAATTCTCCATTCTGTCATTGAAAAGCTATTTTTATAAGAGGCCACAGGAAGTTTGGGAGTTGACAAGAACAGGCACATACAGTACACGCACAGCGATAACAAACGCAGCAACATAAATGCCAATTTACCCAAACATGTACAGGCTATGGTCCGGCACAAAACAAAACAAAAATGTAAATAATTAGACTGTGTTCAGCTTCGGAGTGCAGTTTATGGAATTTGTGTTTGTTTATGCATTTCTGTTGACCAGGGGGATTCCTGGCAGAGTGATTTTTGACGCTCCATAAATAAATCACATTGCCAGGGATTTCCAATGGCTGACATGAAAATTCCAGCGTCAGGTGTCAATGACAGTGTGTGTACTAAGAAAAAGAACACGTTCATTTGGATACACCTTAATGCTGTGTGGCTGTGCGGCCTCAGGACTTAGCTCGCATGTGAACAGTGACTGTCTGCCGTGTTCACAGTGGTTAAGTTCTGCCGCCACAGGGCTGCAGTCTACAGGGGGGGGACAGTAAAGGTCACTGGGGGAACGCAATGCATAAAACAAAAGCTTTAGGGGCCAATTTGATACTTAATGGATATGAAAAATGTGCTTATGTATTCTTTTTGATGCGTTATATCCAGGAGGAGCCCGCTGAGAGGTTCAAAGATGGTTAGAAGCAGGTATACAGTTGGGAATTTCTCAGCAAATGACCCAATAGCGTGTGACCAGTGTCTGCTAAATGTCAGTGCTCTCATTAGTGCAGAAAAGCTAGGAAATATGTCGTCATTTCTATCCACAGCTGCCCCGGCCTCACAGTGGCACTTTAGTGGGTTTCTACCTTTTGATTTGAGTGTTTGTGCGGCCTCTCTTGCTGAGCTGGTCTCCTGTGCCTGCTGTGCTGATAATCAGTGTGTGATGATGGCTGGCTCAGTTCAGCAGGAACAGGGGTCTGGTCTCATTTCTATTTAAGACCACTCCGATAACTTTGCATGTGCAGTAATAGCTGATAAGTACAGCGGCTGTGTTGACGTGTGCATAAGACATATCGACATTGCTTGGATGTCACATGTGGTTCTTTATTCTCTTACAAATATATTTGGGAAACGTAAGGAAAATAATATAATAGCTTTAATGTGTGGTTAGTAGATACATTTGTCATCAATTCACAAAAACAGACATTTTGTGATTGATCATATCTTTGTGGAATTGTGCAAAAAAAAACATTAAACCCTAGGAAGCTGTACTTAGATGGGAAACAACATATCTCAAACAAATATTCTTATTTCGTAGTTAATGCATACAGTAAACAATAAATGACATATGGTGATGTTAATGTGTTCAAGATGTGTAGATATTTTATATTGTAATCATCCAATGTCTCTACTGCAGCCATTTGTGAACTTTGAATGTGATTTTTAAATGGTTTCAATAAAGAAGTTTGAGTATTTTCTTGTCTGTGTGTTATTTTTTTCATATTACTACATAGAACCAGTGTATCATGAGATAAACAGGGCCCTGCATGAGGCTCTGTTGTTCTTTTCTCAGTGGAAAACAATGAAAAGTCACATGGCTGCAGTCAAAATGACATCCAGGACATTCTTCAGAGCTAAAGTTATTATAATTGAAATCAATCAGTTTGCCTTCAGCTTTTTAACTGTCTTACAGTGTTTCTCCATCATGATGATTCCTACAATGAATTATGATCACTAATAGAAATATTCACAAGTGGATTATGTTCAGGAGTTATAACAGCATTTAAAAGGTCCTAAATATTGCAAATGTTCTTAAACATCTTTGCAAAATATTGCAGTTTTTGTAACTATAAAGCTCTTTAACATTGTATCCATATTGTTGAAAAAAAAAGTAAGAACCTTTCTTAATCCCAAAGAGGGGAAATGTGTCATCCTTGCACATATCAGGAATCAGAACACTCAAGGTCAAACAGAGAAATATCTATGACTTTAAAGAGGAATAAATAATGTCTAGTCTCTGTCCTAACATACAATCTTAGCTGAGCCATAAGACTTTAGCTAATATTTCCCCTGGGAGAAAGTAACACATATCCTAAACTTAAAAAGAAGTACATACACTCTTTAGTGATATGCAGTTAGCATTCTATAGATTGGTACAATTGTAGATGCATTAGCAGCATGGGATGTGGACAGAATAACTATATAAGTGTATATATATATTATATATATATATATATATATATATATTCTTTTCAAATAATTTTCCACTGTAAGTGATGCACTACTTCCAGAAAGTGACTCATTGTGGCTTTAATGACCTACATCTCCACAGAAACCTGGTATAAGGCTGCAGTCCAGATGTGTGTCCATGCTCCTTGGTTGCCATTGGTAACTAGTGCAAACTGTCATGAGCCACAGCGAGTTGCGTCACAGTTCAACAGACTTCCTGTTTCTGGAAAGCAGTGAGGAGCTAAGGTAAAGAGACACTGCACACAGAACCTTTTAACTGTTTATTACAGTAAACTCGTGTTTACAGTGTACAGTAATAAACTGTATTAAAATGTATTCTAGTCATAAAAATGTTCCCATTGTCCTTGGTCAATATCTAACGGTTGATCTTTCTGTCCTGCTCTGCAAACTACCTGTCTTTGACACCCACACACTGGGCTCTCACCTGGCTGCCAGTGTCTCATCAGGTATTTGACCAAGGCGCCAAAAGTCCATAGTTCCTATAACAACCAAACAGGCAAACAGAAGGGGAGATAAGAGGACTCTTCTTGCAGTTCCTGCATCTTATGAAATAAACAAATTTGAACTTTGACCATTTTAACTGACTGCTCCAGAAATGCACACTGCGTTGGTACAATGGAGGGATATAGGCTTAATTCAGCTATGAAATTGTGTACCGTTTATCATCCAAGGAAAAAGGTAAACAATAAAACAATAATCACACAAAGCATTATGCCAATGTGCAATCCCTGCGCTTTGTATTTGTCCAGTAGGTTCACTCCACCCTGCAGCTGTGTGCAGGGCCAGCTGTGTGCAGGGCAGCTGTGTGCAGTGCAGCTGTGTGCAGTGCAGCTGTGTGCAGGGCAGTGCTCAGTGTCTGTCTGGCTCTGGGTTCTCAATGTAAAGAACAGCCCTTTGCCGAAAGGAAAAACCATAATTGCCATTATGACTGCAGTGGGCCAGAACATCACACAAAGTACTGATTGTTCCAAACTGGTAAAGGGGGAGCTCTGCTGGCGCAGTGCAGTTACCACAAAATATTATGACTGAATGTGTGAATATAGCCCATCTTCACACATACCTCCAGATACTTACAACCTTTGCTGTAATAATAAATGCAGTATACAACAAACAATCCTCAACAGAGGATTGTTTGATCTGTCAAACCTTAGGTAAATGTGAAGTACAAGCCAATAAAACTAAGTGGCCTGTTTCATGCTTGCCGCACCAACGCCCGTCTGGTGCCAGACTGAGGTCTTGTGATACTTTTCTGAAGTGAAAATAACGTCATCTCCTCAGAGAAAGCACTAACGGAGCACAATCTTCTCACTGCATTTTGAATTCAAAAATTAAATATTTTTTAAGTCCTGATAGTTTTAGTATTTTGATCATTTGCTTTTTGTTGCACAACAAAAACATTATAAAAACGTGCTGAGTTCTTTCCCAAATTCCCATTTAATTTATATGAATAAACATTCAGATAAACTTTTTCCAAACAAGACCATTTTATTTGTTTATGGTTTTTGAGAAACATGCTGTAAAAATATTCAAATAAAAATGCTTCATGGTGACCCAGATCTTGCTACAGTATGAATTCATAATAAATAAAATCTTTAAAATCATTATATTAAAGATTGCTATAGTATAAGCATGTGTTTTTGTGTAGCTCAGCACGGAGACAGTTGTACCGCATAACAAAAGATAATAAACATCAACAAAGATCATCCAGAAATTCACATTATACTTCCTCCTCATGTTACACCTTTGTTTCGTTTTTAAATAATAAAAAAACTAAACATATATATGAAAAAATATATACTTTTGAGTCCATATACAGCGAGTTCCTGAAGAGATGATGGTTCAATCAGTTTTCGTGCCTGTGGTCAGTCGGTCAGCGTGCAAAGCAAAGGTCTGGGCCACAATCAAAGGGAAAACCAGAGACGCATCTGCATAAACCTAGAGGAAAACACAACCTTTACTCAGAGTGTGACTCCTGGAGACAAGAGCAGATCATTCAAACACTATTCACACACTGCCACCTTCAGGCCACAGAGTTTTACAGCACAAACTTTAAGCAGCTGAACATACAAAGAACAATATACGTGCCTTTTTCGCTCCCATTTTTCATAGCTTCAGCCTGAACTATGTGTATGTGGGCAGTACACCCAGAGAATCCATCCCATCATATAGGTGTAGCCAATTAGATGCCAATAAGGCACCATGAATACGGCACAGGTGCTGACCACAATAAAAAAACAGGTATAAGGTGTGACCACGGTTTACCTCGCACAGTGCCACACATCTACTTCACAGATGTAATGCTGGCTCACGCTCTCATGAGTGTGAGACCAGGCAAAAACTGGGATATTTTTCAGCTAAATTGTGTTCAGATCTACAAGATAGAGCTGTGCTTTACTAAGTTGAAACATTAGGTGATGGTAGTGGAGGAACATTCAATACCATCGCTGTAAGGCACCTGTGTCTGTGTTCAAGATACCATCACCATGGGCCTCAAACCAGATCACACAATGCCACAGTTTAGATCAATGAACAACATTACATGAAATTCACAAAAAATAAAACAATTCGAGAAGAATAAAAGACATGTTCATTTTTTCTTGTTTGATATGAAGTTCTGCGGTGTCTCAGATTGTGTCCACTAGATGGCACCAGTGTTATATAGACATGATGTCTAGGGTTGCAGGGAGGCCTTTGGTCAGCCCACCCAACAGTACTGCCACACTCCAGCACAGATCTGATGAAGCAGGACATCACTAAAGGACATCAGGGGGAGCCACACTAGGGTAGTACATCCTAGGCCTTGTTTTTTTATTTAAACGTCGAGTTGAGATGTTACTGAAAACTCCCAAAATCTTTTTTTTAAACACATATCTTATGTTTCTTTTTTTCGTTTACTCTATGTAGTGAGGCGACAGTAGCTCAGTTGGTAGAGCATTGGTCTTTGAACACTGAAGGTCATGGGTTGGAGCCCACCACGGGACCTTCTCCACCGACTCCCAATGATGTCTGCTGTCGTTGTGTCCTTGGCAAGACACTTAACCTCTGGGAACACCAGGTGCCACAGTGGGGTGGCTGCGGCTGTAAAGTGCCAAACTGCTGTTGTGTCCTTAGGCAAGACACTTCACCCCCTTTGCCTAGATTGAGTCTGGTGTGTGTGTGAATGGTTGGTGGTGGTCGGAGGGGCCGATGGCACATACTGGTTGCCTCGCTTCTGTCAGTCTGCCACAGGGCAGCTTTGGCAACAGTAGTAGTTAATCACCACCGTGTATGGAGTGAAAGAATAATGATATGTAAAGCGTCATTGAGTATCCAAAAAAGCGCTATATAAAACCAATGCATTATTATTATTATTATGTATTGATTTGATCACTGTGGAGGTGGGGAAAAAAAAACGAAATATTGCAAAGAGGAAGAATGAAGATGTAAAATGCTGAAAACAGGAATGGTAAAACATCCTCTTAAGATGAGCCTGGAAACATCCCACTTCTTGCACGACCAGCCTTTACTCATCAGACATGTGTAGCAGGTTTGGAATTTGCAGAAAGTTTTAGAGGAGGCCAACATAGCACAGGCCACAATCGACAACCTGTTCAACACTTGGAAGGATGTGTTACACTGCAGAGGAAAACTGGTCACACCTGACTTGATGGAAGGCCATACTTAAAGGTATATAGGGAAAACTTATTTAAACGTGTCTTGCATATCACCAGAAAGATTGACAATTAGGAGGACCAATAGTTTAGATGATCCACCCTAAAGAAGAAAATCCTCCCATATACCTTTAAAATAATTAATACAAAAGGCAGAAAAATGCTCTGCCTATGGGATTATACTGTAAGGAAACATGAATAATGCAGAAAGGGTTGAAGGACACGCAAGTCCCTGATGTTGGGATCTAAAAACCTAGGTATAAAAATATTAATTTGTAACATTGTGATGCAATTTTTAAAGTAAAGTAAAATGTAAGTGTTTTTGCAGTTACCTTGACTGGTTTTGCATCGGTTCTAATCTTGCCCCAGGACACGGCTTCATCAGGTCTGGCCCCAGAATCTGAACCATCAAACTCCTGTCCTGTGTTAATGAACACCGAAAAATCCGCCCCATTTCTCTGCACAGAAGGCACAGAAAGCAAAGTCGACCAAAGTAAAACAATTATTATAAAAACCTCAATGAACAAAACCAGGAGGGCGTAGTTACCATAAGATTTGCATTGGCAATATGATGCTTCACCAGCCCACCACCAAGAATGATCATTCCTGTTTTTTTAGCAAACACAGCTTGACTGTTCATGCCGCGAATATCTGTAAAATCATACATTTAAATCCAAATAGTTTCATTCAATTCAACAATACAGAGGAAAGGGACATTTACTATTTACCCTCCACTATGTCAAGAATGAGGCCAGGGTTTTTGAAGGAGTGAAAGTAAATCATATCCCCCAAAGAGCCGTCCGTAAGAGCTGGGCTGAACACCGGAATATCATTCTAATAAAACATAATTTAAAAAAGCAGTATCAAGATCACATTGCTACAACATTACACAACAACTGCATTCTGATTGACCATGCAAACTTGAACTCGCCTTGTACGCCCAGTAATAAACAGACTCAGGATTATTGATCTCCTTCCCGAGACGATGGATCATCTTTGAGGGCGTCCAGCGTGTGCCCTAAAGTCAAAATGGTACAATTACTGGATACATGTGTTTACTTCCACTTTACGTCCTTTTACCCACGCCATCCACAAACTCACCTCTGTGTTTTGTTCCAGTAACATTTGATCAAGAATGGGTATGAGCCAATCTTCAAATTTGCAGTAGTTATCATTTGGAACTAATAGATTTCCTATTCTGAAGGCAATAACAAAAGATATGTTGATAATATGAAGCTCAGCCTAAAACCATAAACTGTATATAAGTGGACAATGCTAACCCGCTAGCGAAAACGAATCCCAACAGGGAAGAGCTCATGGATGGAAGTTTTGCTTCAAATCACTCTCGCTTACACTAATAAAAAAATTACAAACTAAAATTAATTTTGTAGCAGGCTTTATTTTGCTATTGTCTTTGTAAATCCATCTTGTAAACCACTTCTACCCCTGTTACGGCGCAAAGCTAACCCAGTAGGAACAAATGCCCATATAAGGAAATTTGCTCCAGCTAGCTTATGTTCAAATCAGCTTCTTCCGCATTCTGCCAAAACTATGAGTAACGTCAACACAGTCCACTCCTAATATACTGTCTATGCCTCAAACTCACCTGTTGATGCCTCGCTGTCGGAGATCTTTTCCAGCCATACTGAAGTCTCCGAGGTACGTATGAGCCAAGCACTTTATCAGGTCTTCCTCTATGCCCCCAGCTGTGGTAACAATTACATCAACCTATCACAGGGACAGAAACCACCACGCTACGTTATGATCAGAGAATCACATTGACAATATAATGAACACTTTACCATTTTGTGCTCTGCAAGGTAGCGAATGCTCTCCCTAACCCCAGAGCTAATCAGATTGGAAGTGTAGCCAAGAAAGATGGTGCATCCCGACGTGCCGGACTTCAGCTCAGACTCATTTGCGTCAACTGGCTCCAGGCGCTTCTCGATCTGGGAAAAAAATTATAAAATGTTTTGAAACAAGCACAACACATTTCTTCACCACAGATTTGCATGCACATGAACATTATGTCATTCCACCCCCCCTCACTCATACAACATTAAAAAATAAATACCAATAATGCAAATCTCTAAGTATAACAAATTAAGATCAAATTGACAAACTGCTATATCAGGCAATATGTTTTTTTTTTTACTGTGGTAAAGACTTGTTTGGCAGCTCTCAAAAATGTTTAGCTAAAAAATAAGAAAAAATAAGTTTTAGACTGCAGAAGGAGTTGAGTGCTGATGGCAAAGACCTAGCAACCAAAAAGCCAATCAGGAGCAGCGCTGGTCTGTCCCCACTCACACTTTTTGCTAAATCGAAATTTGGAGACAGAAGGCAGTCAATTGGGGATGTAGACAGAAATTATCAAAGAAAATGTAGACACAAGGGTCATAAAGAGTATTAAACCACGATTATTTAGATGTGTGCGGTAGGAACGGATACAGAGTAAGAATTGAATGAGAGCATAATGTTCCGGGCTTCATGGCTTCAATACTAGTTTTTAGAATTATCCCATATCTAATTTTTGATACTTCAAACAGCTGTTACTTCTCACCATGTTGTTGATCTCCTGGACAGCGAAGCCGAAGCTGCTTGCCTGGAAGCCCGTTGTCAAGTAGGACTTGAGCACAGCCTGAAGATCTACTCCCTGGTTAAAATCATACCCTTTGATTTTCAGGATGTCTTTTGGGAGTTCACAGCTGGGTTTGAGGACTGCCTCCTTAGCCACAGAGGGAGCCTGATCTGCCATGTCTATTCTACACACACAAAATGCATTATAAATATCGATCATAATTATAAATCGATTATAATGGACACATTTAGCAAATTGCAAAAGACCGCAATTAATTAATCATCATTTGCAAAACATATTATACAAATAAAGCAATAACTGTGTTTAAATATTTAGAAAAATAAGTTTCACAACAGAAAGTCAAGAATTTGAAATTAATTGAATTACGCAATGTTGGTTTAAAATTAGACCTGCTAAAAACAGGTCCAGTTTTAATTAACTTGTTAAAGTGTTGTTGTTTTTTCCATTTCAAATTATAAATAACTTCATATCAAGGTGAATTAAATCATATAGAAGAACTCATTCATTTATCAATCATATGCTGATGTGCACATTAATCATGTTATTACAGTCAAAACATCTACCCATATATGTATGGGTATGGGTTAGGGTTATGTAAAATGTGTTCCCAAGCAAGCGCTAGCTGGAAATCTAGCCTTTATCCTATAGGTTGAGGACTAGACAGAGCCAAATGAATGCTTGCATCATAGGCTCACGCAGCGCATATGACACTTACTTAGTCGTGACGAGACGTAGATGAATAAAAACAAGAAGAATCAAAGAGATGTAAACAAGTCTCTGGATGTGAAGAGTAACTTCGCATGCTTCTCGCTCGGTCCCTCCCACAAACGGAACTGGTTTTTCTTCCACGCCCATGACTGGACAGAAAAACAAATGTCTCCCCCTCCTGGAGTTAAAGGGTAATTGTAACTTTCTTTTTTCTTTGATACCACAACAAAACAGTTCTATCAATACTATTCATGCGCATGTACAGATCCATGATGTACACCAATACAAACCGGATTCGACCTTAGATTCAAGTCCACCTAAGGTCTTTCTGTGTGGAGTTGCATGTTCCAGTTTCATCCTGGTGCTCATCCTACCACTAAAAACATGTTCAAGCTGAATGAGTTTGTGAGTGCGACTGTGGGACAACAGATGCAAATTAGCCCAAGACTACGATCTGGAGTTGTGTGTTCATTAAAATTGTTCCGTCCCAATCACATAAATCAGAGATTAAAAAAAACATATTTATAAAATCATCTTTTTCAGCTTGTACAGTGGAAAAAAGTTCTCACCCAAACGGCTCTCAGTAAGTAAAAGATCAAACGTTTTCTCATAAGATGGACAGCATGTTGTGGTCTGATTTCACACCATGTTAGTCAAACAAGGAACAATGTATTTATAAAAAGTCAGGTATTCCAGCTTTAATGTTTATTATTATTATTATTATTATTATTATTATTTTAGTCAAACATACTTTATTACTTTATTGATAGATTATGAGATTACTTCGCTTCAATAGCTCCTTCGCTCATAATAGGGCAACATCCAGGAAGGTGGCTGCTGCTTCGTCAGTGACGACACAGCCTTGGAGTTTCAGCGGGGGCTTCTGGGAAAGTGTGGAAAAGTGTCTTGCCCAAGGACACGAAGACCGCGGACATCAGTGGGAGCAGTTGGAGTAAGTCTCATGGGAGGGCTTGATCTCACAACCTTCAGGCCCAAAGGCCAATTATGCTCTACTAACTGAGCTGCAACATCCAACACAGCTTTGTTTGATAATACTTGAAAAAAAAATATTCAAGTTAAAGGATGTCAAATGTAGTCTGCGATGGTCATTGCCAACTTTAAAAGGTTACAGTAGGGTTGTAGGCCTGCGGTACATGTTTACACAAAGTACTACTTAAGTTAGGTTGGAAATAACTCCAGATACCCAGTGGGGTGGTAGTCCCACTCTTGCTTACTTCGTTTTCGCCGTGATTGGTTCGGATTGTTTGCAATGCACGCCACCTTTTTTAAATGATGTGTGATGTTTTTGACATTCTCAAAACTGTCATATGACCTTTCTCTGCTCCTTTGAAATTGCCCCAGCTGTGAACAAATGGGTCCCACTGGTTAAAAGGGACACTGAACCAATACCAGCTCTTCAAATTCAGTGGGAGAGAGGTCTACAGAAGTATTCTACGGCTTTGTTTTTGTTTTGAAATCAACCCACAAGAGATGTCTGGGAAGACGTTCAGCAGTAATTCAGTTATTCAAGCACAAAAGCTGATCCACCAACTCAGGATTGAGGCAGGAATGGAACGGCTCAAGGTAAGAAAAATATGAAAAAGCTTTTGTAGTTTGCATCATTTATGAAATGTTTTTCATTATCAGATCTCGCTGACAGCTGTAGACTTGGTTCAGTACTGTCAGGATCACAAACGCAATGACCCTCTGTTGACTGGAATAAACTCTGCATTGAATCCATTCAAAGACAAGAAGTCCTGTGTGCTGCTCTGATTGTGTCATTATACACTAAACGCGATATACTGTATCTATGTTAGTACCATTTCTATATCCACAAGTGTAAACAAGTATTGTAACAATTAAAATGCAAAATGAATAAATAACAGAATAATCAACATATGTTGTATATGCTTTTTATTTATGTAAAACACAACATTAAGGTCAAACCACACTTGTTTATTAAATATTATAGTGACATATTGGTAACATTGCACTTTGTTCTCATTCTGGTCATTTTCTAGGACGCCAAATTACACAGGAATCTCCTGAGGCAACAGCGAGGACTCCAGCCTCCACACTTAACTGTACAGAACAAATACAATAACTACTAATATAAATGATTTCATATAATTTTGGAAGCAGATAAAAGGCACTGACCCCATTTGCTTTGGTCTGGTATTGCATTGTGCACAGTGTTCTAGGTGGGGAACATGGAATGTGTACCTGCAAAAATCACAAACAACAAAAGTTATGAGAGAAAACAAAAACAATATTACAATACCCTGATCACCTTCAGTGTTTTGTCCATTGAGCAGGTGTAAAGGCTTCCAGGGGAAAGGTGGATTCCAGTGATCATAGCTGTGTGTGCCACATCAAACTGTGACAGAACTTTAAAAGTCCCAGCTTGCATGGAAAAGGAGTGGAGCATGCCTTTGCTGTCTCCAGCCCACACCTCACTGCCACAGTAGCTTAATGATCGTGGGTAGAATTTGAGCTAAACAAATAAATAAACATCAGCAATCAAAGTCAAAAAGTAATAAAAATATATGATGAATTTATTGTGTAAATTTCTGTATTTACCCGAATTTTCTTTAGGCCCTTTCCAGCTCTGCAGTCATAAACAGCCACAGTGGAGTCTTCACTCCCTGAGATTATATACTGGTCATCTGCAGCAAGGCACATTACTGCGTTATTATGGATGGCTAGACTTTTTACCAGGGGTGTGGCAGCTGTTAAAAACACATACAAATTAAATAAACAGTTAATTCTTATTTATGGAAAACCCTGCTAAAAATACTATACATCTGATTATAGATTCACCTCTGGGATCATACATGGTGATTTTACCGTTATGTGTCCCAGTCAGTAGTACGTTATTTTTAAAGGACAAGCAGAGGACATGAGATTTGGTCTTTATCAATCCCCTCTCAGCGCCACCTGTCGGGATATCCCATAATCGAACGGTGTTATCAAAACCACCAGATGCTAGCACAGGTCCTTGAGAAGCAAGACACCACACCCATCCTCGATTATGAGAACTTGATAAACCCTGTCCAACTAAAGAGTGCAACTGTGCCCCAGATGGCCCTGCGTCCAAATCCCACAATTTTACATTCCAGTCTTGAGACGCTGTTACACAGATTTTCCCCTCACCACCCACAAGAAGAGCTGAAGTAACTAGTCCGATGTGGTCCGATGGTAAAGTGATACACTCTAAAGCTGGCGATGGGCTGGCACATCTACCCGGTTTGGTCTCCTTTTCTGACAGCTGTTCATTTCCTAAAAGTCTTTGGTCAATGTTTTCCTCAGGATTCATGTCGTCTTGTCTTAAATGTATTTCCTCATTAATTAAAGCTGCAGCCCCCTCTTGTTGGTCCCCTAGTATCTCTTGGTTGTCGCCTTCCAGGGCAACCTCCAGGCCTTCGTTCGCCCCATAGGCCACCTCTTGTGCTGCACCACCGATCCTGTCAACCCCCCCCACTTCACCGGCTTCCAGCACAGCGCCTTGCCTTTCTCTTTCATCTACTTGTTCTCTACTCTGTTGAGCCACAAAAAGAGTTTGATCTGTCCAAAGAGTTATCAGCCGCTCCATCTCCAGACAAGCTTGAGGCCAGTTAAAATCCTCCTTTGGCCCAACAGGAAAGATTGCTCGTGAGCCGGTGAGTCTATGAGCACGGATTTGCCATGCAGTATTGTCTTTGCCCACGTTACGTAAGGCATGGCACACCTGAAAACAAACAATGTATTGAAGCAAGCATGATAAAAAAAACACAGATTAATTTAAAACTTCAATAGTTCCTCCTAACTGCACATATGAATGAATTAGGTGTGTGTATTAGTAATGAGGACCACAAGGAATACAATAATGGAATTTAAAGCGTGTTCTTACAGTTTGTGTGCAATTGGACTAACCTTAGGCAAGACAGTAATGACACACTGAGCAGGGAGGTGAGAAGCGATGTGAGTTACCATCTCCCATGGTAATGACAACAAGCCAGTAGGGCCCGAAGATGGACTACAATCTGAAGACTGATCACATGACGCAGGCCTGCAACAATACGAAATAGACATGTCAATAATGTATACGTCTCTAATGAATGTATCTCTTACCCATCCAATGGTTTGATGTTTACAGACCCCTCTTTATGTAGTTGTTCTTCTTTTTCACCTTCCATTTCAAACAAGGCTCTCAGTAATGCCTGACTTTCCTCGCTGACCTGCAGCTACTAGGGTACAGTCTAAAAATTAAGCTGGCTCATATTTGTTCACTAGTAAAATCTAAAATGCACTGGACGGTTCATCACAGAACACACTAAACCCGGATCAAACTGACGTCCGTCTGAAAACTACACACAGGATCGAGGCGCACTTCCGTCGCATGCAATACGTCATAACCCGTCGTCAGTGCTTTCTTTTTCAAATACGTATATTTTTTTAAACAATAAATTAATTTGTTAAATGTTGAAGCCATATGGTCCAATTATTAACTAATAGTAACTAGTAACTAATGATCTGTGTAAATATTATACATTACTTTAAAATATGTTTTTATATTGTGTTAAGAATATTACACCTGTTTCACCTGTGTTTCAAAAGAAAAGAAAGAAAGCTCATTAGGTGAGTTACATATGCTGCTCAAATCTGGAACAGTCTTCCTGAAAAGGAGAAACACACTTTCTGTTCTCACAATGTTCAAATCCAAGTCAAAGCTGTTCTGAACAGTTGTGTATATCACTGAAAGATTATTTCTGCTTTTCTTTAATTAATTTCCCATTTATGTTTTTACTTGTTTTGTGATTTTCACTTGACAATCCAACCTCCCTCAGTTTGATTTTTTAACAAAAAAACATACTCAATTAAAGAAAATTATCAAACCGACAATTATACTTAATAAAATGTGTTTATCTGAGCCCTGTATAATTTCATTATAATAAAATAGCCTTTTCAGACAAAAAAAATTGGATATCATTCAAGTAGAGGTCGTCTGGTTTGCAAATGTCTCTGCTACTAACAAAGGGAAGATTAAAGTGGCATCTCCACAAATCTGAAAAATGTAAAAGGACATTGACAAATCATTACAATCCAGAGAAAGTACAGAAAAATAGCAGATTATGCTGGTGTCAGGGTCGTGTTTTCAGAGAACTCCTGAACCACCCAAGCTCACTAAACTTTTTTTTTAAAATCAAAATACCTTGACAGGTTTTGCACTTGTGCGGATTTTTCCCCAGGACACAGCCTCCTCTGGCTGTGCTCCTGAATCACAACCATCAAACTCTTGTGCTGTGTTCACATAGACCGCATAGTCTAATCCATCTCTCTACAACACACACAGCAATGACATTATATAATGTATATTCTGATCATGATGAATCTATCATAAAATAAGCACAATATTTTTGGTATAATTGTGATATATTGATCAAATAGCCATCTAATCTTGCATGTAATGTATCATTATTTGTTTCTTACCCAAGAATTTGCATTTAAGACATGATGTTTTGCTACTCCACCTCCAAGTGCTATTAACCCTGAGTTGTTGCAGGCTATTGCCATATCCAGGAGTCTTGTCATGTCTGTTGATATAGAAGCAAAATAAAAAATATATGATTTTTATCATCTTTGTTTGTTGCACTACAATTACACATAAAAAGTTGAAAGTGGCTGTATCTGGAAGTGACACATCACATGTGGGCCTATGAGTTAAAACCTTATTTTGGTCCATTCTCAATGGAGAGGGGTCTGTTTTATACAACAACGAAGAAGATAGCCAAAGGAACCATGAGATGTTTTATGGGCCTACTTTTGTCTTCAAAACTTTTGGCTATAGTGTTATGCACACTAAAAAAGCTTTTAAAGACCAAGATTGAAAATCATATTATTCATAAGAACAGACTTATAGATTCAGTTGATTTGTAATTTAAAAAGAAGCAAATACATAAAGCAAAAAGTCCCTATCCAAGTTGAATAAAATGCTGTTGACTTTATGACTGACATAGCAGAGCAATCATTTACCTTCGATTATGTCTAAAACCAGACCTGGCTTCTTTTTTGAAAACAGATAAAACGCATCTCCAAGGCCCCCATCTGTGAGCGCAGGGCTGAACACAGGGATGTTATTCTGAAACACGAATGCAATTACACTACTGCACCAGAGGAGAACGCTGTCTCACTATTATAAGACACTTTCACGCTTTAATTGTTACCTTGTAGGCCCAGTAATAGATGGAGTCAGGATTGTTGATTTCTTTACCAAAGCGATTTATCATCTTGGAAGGTGTCCAATTAATGCCCTGTTTGACAAAGCACCAAATAATGCAGGTTCTGCATTTTATCTTATTCATGTGATACTATGTTCACCTGTGTCTTTTGTTCTGTGAGCATCTTCTCCAAAATTGGCGTGAGCCACTGGTCAAATAATTCATAGTTTTCATTCGGCATCAAAGTGTTGCCTGTCCTGTAAAAGGAGAATGGGCGGTTAAACACTTTGACAAAGGTAGCCTACCACTGGAGGAGGAAAAACACAAAGGCACATGTTGTGTTGTAAAGGCAGGCATTATAAGCTTATGCTTCAGCCGACGCCTTTTCGGTCAGTGTAAAGTAAAGTAGAGTATCAGTTTGTACGGTACATTCTTTCTTTTTTTGGAATATTTTGTGTTCCTGTGGAAATTATCCTTGTACAACTTTGTTTTCGATGCCTGACCGAATAAACTACACTAAAACTGTCTCAATAATACAATTGGTTAAACAAGAATAAAAAACAAAAACAAATTGTTGCTATTTATGTGAAGAAACAAACAATTTAGTCTGATATTTTGTTTTTATTCTTGGTAGCTGTATTGTTAATTTGTCTTGTGTGTTTTACATTTACACTAATTAAACATAAAAAGGTAAACAATATTTTACAATTCAGCTCGACCTACCAGGAGACTCATAAGAAAACCAAGTTACCTAATGTAACCTAATGTTCTACGAGTTAATTCTCTGCCCTTCACCTGGCTCCACTCATTGGCTCGGGTGATAGCCCCTAGTAAAGCCCGGTAAAGGGTGGAGTATTAACGAAGGAGAAACACAACTTTAAAAACTGAAGAGAGCGAGAAAATAAAGACAGCTGGAACTGTAAGCTCCTTCTCACAGCTCCCAAGGCGACAGCTTGTATATATATATACATTTGTTGTTTTTGAGTAACAGTGTCCTGACCTGTTCAACCCTTTTTCATAGAGATCTTTTCCAGACATTGTGAAATCGCCAAGGTAAACTGGACCCAGACATTTGATTAGATCCTCTTCTATTCCCCCGGCTGTGGTCACAAGAACATCCACCTGTAGAAGACAAGAGGAGCCTGACTCAAACACTTTAAAGGTGTAATTGATTCATAATACAGGATCCACATTTTTCACTTTCCGACACCTCTCAATTGTCAAAATATGTAGCCCAATATTTTGGTAAATTTTCCCAAAATACACTGTGCAGACCCATGAGTTATCCATGTTGACAAAAAACTTTCTTATCCTCTCTCCTTAGCTGAAATGCAATGGCTCCAAGTGTCCGTCCGTGTGATACAAAATTATAGACTATAGATGGACAATGCTAGCCCCCCAAGCTCAATGAAGCCCAATAGGGAAGTGCTCATGCACAAAGTTTTGCTCAAGGTCTCTCTGGCTCCAACTAACTGACTCACTTAAATCAAAAAGTAATCTCCTCTTCACTCACAATCGTTTGTGTCACGCTCACCATTTTGGGCTTAAAACATTCATGGTTTAGGGCTCTCTGGGATCCTGGTTTATCTTGAAATTGTCCTTGTAAATCCAGATATGAGCCATAAGAATTGCCCGCTGCATGGCCTTTGGCCTCGTCCTGTAGCTTAGGTCCTGCATCTATAGCCCGTCCGTCCATGTGGAACGGATTCCTCTCTCAATGTGGATCTCCCCGAGGTTTCTCAATTTTCTCCCACTGGGTTTTAGAGTTTTTCCTTGCCGATGCAGGGGGGTCTGTTAGACTTTTAGTGTCTAACAAGAAGGACTGTGGTGATGATCCAGGACACTCTGACATTGTATAATATGTATGGACATTTATCAAAATTCATGAACATTGGTCTCTCTTAAAGTGTAAAAGATAATCAAAATTTCCTCCCAATTTGGCCATGTATTTTTACATTTAAAATGTTACTTCCTAGTTGCAAATGATAATATGTTGCCTGGGAACTGTTTAGAAAATGGAGCCAATTTATTTTTTAGTAGAATCATCTGAACCACAAACTGGACTGGACTCATAACACAGGTTCTCTCTTCACAAACTGTGGCTTCATCAGTGAAAAGTATAATCTTGAGCAGAAAAAAAAACTGTGATGCACACTTCAATCATACAGTCATACATAGTGGTGATTATATTATAGAGTAATCATTGAGTAATGAGAGCCTTTTCATTTGAGTACCATTTGGTGCTGCACGAGGTAGCGGATGGTCTCTCTGATGCCGCTGCTGATCATGTTGGAGGTGTAGCTCAGAAAGATGGTGCAGCTCCTCAGACAGGGGCAAGTTGTGGGGTCTTCTTTCACCGTTCCATTCTTTCTCTTCACAGGCTCCTGACGCTTCTCAATCTGTGTGTTTGTTTTATGAATCAAAATTCAATTACATTTTTATGGGAATAAAATGTTATTATTTTCACAAATTCCATCTATTTAGTATTGATTTTCAAAATAGGATGAATAGAAAGTCCCCCCATGGCGCCCTCTCCCACGGTCCCTCAACCAAAAGGTAAAAATAAATAAACACATTTATGTTTCACAGTCAAAAACATGATCCATGCCTACTGGCTAAAGAAACTCACAGCACTCCCAAGACTTATCTAATCTAATCAGTCCATGAGCGCCTGGCAGCAAAAATGAACCAGCTGCTTGGAGCCCCAGAAGTGCTATCTGAAGGGTCTTGATCCTGAAGGATCCCATGAAGGGCGCAGTCCCCTCCAACTACCGGCCAATTACCTGTCCCTCCTAATAACTGAAGCTCATTTCAGGTAACATTGCGTCTAAGTGGGCATATAGACCAATACATGAGCAAAGCACAGATGGGCATTGGCCAAGATACTAGAGGAGCCAAACACCAGCCCCAACATCTCAAGTTGTGCGTAAGCTTTCTGGTTTGATTCTCCAAAAGCTTACAACTCAGTGCTACACACATGGATCACTGAATGCTTTATGTTGTACAATATCAACAAGACTCTAAGGGCCTTCTTTGCAAAATCAATGGGAATGTGGAGGCCCACCCTTGGCCCAAATGTGGTAAATACCATGGAGATGCTCTGCATTTCTGCATAGGTCTGAACCCCCTAAACTAGACTTGCTATGGATTCCACCTCAGGAACGAGGCAACAATCAGTCACTTACTCTACACGGAGGACATAAAGCTGCACACTAAAAGCAAAAGGGACATATAAACACAAACTATAGCAACAATGTCATTCTGGCTCAAGAAATGTAGTTCGATGATGACACAAAAGGGCAAGGTAGTCTACATGGAAAGGGTGTCAGTCCCACAAGTAAGTAATTAAGTAATCTTTATTTATATACCGCCTTTCACAGACCAGAGTCACAAAGCGGTTTACAATTGTTATTTTTTGGGGCATTTGTCCTCTCACTCCACACAGAGATGGGAGCGGGGTCGTACAGGCCAGCTGTCCAACTATTGGACATGTTTTTAATGGTAGGGGAAACCGGAATACCCGGAGGAAACCTACACAGACACGGGGAGAACATGCAAACTCCACTAAGAAAGGCCCTGGTCCGACCGGGATTCAAACCCAGGACCTTCTTGCTGAGAGGCGAGAGGGCTATCTACTCAGCCAAGGAACAATGGCAGATATTTACAGCCTTGGAATCCCACAGCCAAATGGCAACGTCGAACAGGCAACAAAGAAAGTGTCAACTGCCAATTACTGTACCTCCAGTGAGTGACGAAAGCAATGAATAGCAATGCTCTTCTAATGATCAGATACCCAGCAGGAATGATCAAGTGGCATAAGGAATGGATGCAGACCACAGATGTTAATCTCGAAAGCTCCTCATCGTGCATGGCGGGTTCCATCTCAAATCCAGCACCTTGAGACCACCAGAGCAATAAGATAAGACATATCACACCAGACAAGACCCAAGGTACCAGCCGTGCAAAAATGCATCTGAGACAATCCAAAACATAACCGCAGGGTGAAAAATGCTGGCAGGGAAAGCCTACATGGAACGCCATAAGGTGGTGGAGAATGAGCATGTGTAGATCCTTTGGGACTTCCAGATACAGGCGACCGAATGATAATGACGAACCAATTTGACGTGGTGGTGGACAAAGGGCAGAGGAAGGACATGATGGTGGGGGTGGCCAAAAAGCTCGAGAAATACCAAGGGCTCAGAGAGGAGCTGGAAAAGGCCTGGAGGGTAAAAGTGACAGTAGTGACCGTTGTGATCGGTGCACTCGGGGCAGTGACTCCGAAGCTGGAGAAGTGGTTACAGCAGATCTTGGTCCAAAAATGGAAATGTTGGTCCAGAAATGTGCAGTGCTTTATGGGAAAGATACTGGGCAGAACCCTCAAGCTCCCGAGGACCTGAGCTTAGAGAGAGAGCTGGAGGGGGGGGTGTTATATATTTATATAATTAGATAGATAAAATGTACACAGATTACAAAACATTATACATAAAATGAGAACATCATCATGAAACATCTCACCATGTTGTTTATCTCAGCAACCGCAAGGCCAAAGTGTGTGGCCTGGAAGCCTGTGGTGTAGGAGGACTGGAGCAGTGCTTTGTGGTCCACTCCCAGGTTGAAGTCATAGCCTCTGATTTGAGGGGTGTCCTTTGGAACCGGGTCACACTTACGGTACAGCTCTCCAACCAGGGGATGGTTGTGATGTGCCATTTTGTCTAAAACACAATATATGAAACCTGATGACTTATGTGCATTGTTTCTGAAATTCTAGGGGTCTGGCACCAGTTGGGGAAGGGTGAAAATACGAACTGCAGCCAGACTGTACCACCTGCATGGACTACAAACCTCATATGAACCGCACTACATTCCCCATAATGCAGTGTATTATGACACGTGGCTGAGAGCTGATTGGAGATGTTTGTTAGGATGAGGATCGTGAGTAGCTGCTGTTTGGTTGAGTTCACATCACCCTGTTCTTAACTTTTGTTTCATCATAGATGTTGATTATGAGACGATGCTGTTATCTAGACAATGTGATTAATGTGATTTTGTTAAGTTTTGATTTGGGCTCTGAAGCCTCATGACCTCTCATGACCTCTCACAGTAGTAGTCATGAAGTCATTTGAGCGCCTGGTCCTCTCCCACCTCAAGTCCTTCACCTCCTCTCTCCTGGACACCCCTGCAGTTCGCCTACAGAGCCAACAGATCTGTAGACGACGCTATAAACCTGGCCCTCCACCACATCCTACAGCACCTGGACTCCCCGGGTTCCTACGCCAGGATCCCGTTTGTGAACTTCAGCTCTGCCTTTAACATCATCCTGCCATCCCTGCTCCAGGACAAGCTCTCCCAGCTCAACGTGCCCAACTCCACCTGCAGGTGGATCACTGACTTCCTGACGGACAGGAAGCAGCGAGTGCGTCTGGGGAAGAATGTCTCAGACTCTCGGATTATAAATAGAGGAGCCCCACAGGGCTGTGTTCTTTCTCCCCTGCTCTTGTCCCTGTACGCCAACCACTGCACCTCCAGCCACGACTGTGAAGTTCATGAAGGCGACACCACCCTCATTGGACTCATCTCCAACAACGATGAGTACGCCTACAGGAGGGAGGTGGACTGGCTGGTGTCCTGGTGCAGTGGTAACAACCTGGAGCTGAACGCCGAGAAGACAGTGTAGATGATTGTGGACTTCAGGAAGAGCACATTGCCCCCGCCCCCTCCCTCCCTGACTTCCCCATCACCTCTGTGGAGTCATATCGTTTCCTGGGCACCACCATCACCCAGGACCTCAAGTGGGAGCCGAGCTCCCTCATCAAGAAGGCCCAGCAGAGGATGTACTTCCTTCAGCAGCTCAGCAAAGCCAAGCTGCCTGCACAGATGTTGCAGTTCTACACGGCCATCATCGAGTCTATCCTCACCTCACCTTGTGCGCTCTGCGGTGAAGGTGATTGGCCGCAGCCTCCCATCGCTGCAGGACCTTTACAACGCCCAAGCTCAAGGGCGGGCTGATCTTATCACTGCTGACCCCTCTCACCCTGCACATGGACTGTTCCAACCTCTTCCCTCAGGCAGAAGGCTACGGTCCATTCGGACCAGAACCTCCCGCCATAAGAACAGCTTCTTCCCCTCTGCTGTTGGACTCTTGAACACTTCATTCCCTGTCCCTCCGCCCTTTATAAAGTCTCTTTACTGCCCTTTATAAAGTCACTTTACTGCCCTTTATAAAGTCACTTTACTGCTGTCACATTATTGCACTGCTTAGTGTATATAGTGTGCACCATGTGCACTATATTGTAATTGTATTAATGTTATTTTAATGTTTATACCTTAGAAGTGTAAGCTGATTTTAATTATGCGTTACTCTATTCTTTACCTCTCTTCTTTGACTGTTGCACCGAGCCAAAGCAATTTCCTAGCCTGTTACTCATGTTTCTTACATGGCAAGAAAATTATTCTGATTCTGATGACCTCTCAGGACCTCTCATGAACTCTTATGACCTCTCATGACCTCGAGCATTTGTTGTGACTTGATGCGTTTTTCTTTGGCACCCGTCTGAAGTCCAGTTGGTCTGGGGATTAAGTCCCAGACCAACTGATGATTCAAAGGCATATCACAACAATCAAGGATTGTTTTTGTGTATGTGCTTCGTTTTGAAAAAAATGAATACATTCAGTCAAACACGAGCTGTTTTAAAATCAGAAACATTTAAGCAATGAACATATATTTGATTCATAATCACACCCATGTGTCGCTCAGCTGTATTTGACACTTTAGCTTTTAAAGAGTCACCTTTCGAACTTACTCCTGACAACAGGCGGCATTAAGTGACAGTCTAGCAGTTATCCAATAGCTCCACTCATCAAACGCTCTTTTAAATCCACAACTTGTGGTGAGTTTCACATCACGCTGTAGATGTGCTGCAGCCTCATAGATAAAACAGAAAGTACTATTAGTATTACCTTTGCTGACAGGTGATGTGTGAAGTTTGCTTCCTCTGAATGTTCTGCCGGGTCCCCGCAGATCCACTCTTACCAAGCTACGTTTAATAGTTAATGAGCCCAATGCGTACAACTAAACCAACACTGTGCCTTTCCCCGACTCTAGCTTGTGGATAGTGAAGCACTAAACATGTAATGAGACGCAATGGCAGCATGCAGGGTTTTCTAACAAATAGGAGAAGATGGGGGCATCCCTGACTAATGACCTAATCCACAGTTCGGTAAAGTTAGCTTGATATTCACAGATTCGGACTTCCGCGGTGAATATCTTACGAAAGCTACGTTGTTAAACGAAAGTAATTGTGCCAAAATGATCACCTCTACATGGGCTAACTACTACAACATCGATTTTTCTAATCCAATGCGCTGTTTTAATGCAGAGAAATCCATTGAATCCAATGCGCCGCAAGTGCCGGGAAAAGCACTTAGGGAGCGTCAACAAATGCCAATACCAGCTGTGTAAACGAACAATAGTTTTTATTTTAAGCCAAGTACACGCACTAAACTCTCAAATACTATAAATAGCTACCATATCTAACTACTACAACCTTTGTTTTCAGCATTTGTTTCTTTTTTGTATTTTTTATGAATAAATAGGATTTAATATTAATATGAATTTTGAATAACTTTTTTTCAAAAAGGGGCGTGGTCACCAAATTCTCAGGTATCATCAATAACTGCCATATCTAACTACTACAACTTTTGTTTTCAGAATAAATATCTTTTTTATATTTTTATGATTAAATATGAATATGAATTTTGAATAACTTTTTTTCAAAAAGGGGCGTGGTCACCAAATTCTCAGGTATCATCAATAACTGCCATATCTAACTACTACAACCTTTGTTTTTAGCATTTCTCTTTTTTTATATTTTTTATGATTAAATATGACTAAAAATCTTGAATAACTTTTTTTCTAAAAGGGGCGTGGTCACCTAATTCTCAGGTATGATCAATAACTGCCATATCTAACTACTACAACTTTTGTTTTCAGAAGAAATATCTTTTTTATATTTTTTATGATTAAATATGAATATTAATTTCGAATAACTTTTTTTCAAAAAGGGGCGTGGTCACCAAATTCTCAGGTATCATCAATAACTACCATATCTAACTACTACAACCTTTGTTTTTAGCATTTCTCTTTTTTTCCTATTTTCTTATGATTAAATATGACTAAAAATCTTGAATAACTTTTTTTCTAAAAGGGGCGTGGTCACCAAATTCTCAGGTATAATCAATAACTGCCATATCTAACTACTACAACCTTTGTTTTCAGCATTTTTGTCTTTTTTATATTTATTTTTTTATATTTATATTCAGTAAAAATCATCAGAAACTGGCAATATGGGAGAAATTAAAGCTGGGGTACCTACATTTTCCCTTTCATTAATAGCTCTTGTTGATTGTACCCAAAAGTAGAAGGTTGTGAGCAAGTCAATCGACACGGTTGGGCGGCACGGTGGCTGAGTGGATAGCACTCTCGCCTCTCAGCAAGAGAGTTCGAATCCCGGTCGGACCAGGGCCTTTCTGAGTGGAGTTTTGCATGTTCTCCCCGTGTCTGCGTAGGTTTCCTCCGGCTACTCCGGTTTCCCCTACCGCTAAAGATATGTACAATATAGGTCTGGCATGCGCCTCCTTTTCGGCGACCCCGCTCCCATCTCTGTGTGGAGTGAGAGACAAATGCCCAGAAATAACAATTGTAAACCGCTTTGTGACTCTGGTCTGTGAAAGGCGGCATATAAATAAACATTACTTACTTACTTACTTCAAACAGATTTAAGTACATTTGGTATGAATAACAATGTGTCATTACATTTGTAAATCTCATTTAACTTCAATTGGAGTGGATTTGAAATAGAATGTTAAAAACGCGATTAATCGTGAGTTAACTCACCATTACTATGCGATTAATCAACTAAAAAAATGTAATTGTTTGACAGCCCTAATATATATATATGTATATATATACACATATACACTAATATTCATTATTATTATGCTATTATTATATATGAAATGAAAGGAAGAACAGGTGTAGGATTATTATTATAGATATAAATGTACATATGCTCACCCATAAGCACACATAGGTATGGGCCACGTAACCAGACAGCCCCCCCATCGTCCCCATCACCAACACCACCATCATCACTGTAGTTGTAATGTTAAGTGCTTACACATTCATTTTTATACAAACGAAATATCTTCTTTTTATACATATATATTTAAATTGCAGAATATTTGAAAAACATGTGAATAATAAATAATAGGTTTAAAACAGTTCCTTCCCTTGGCATGACCACCACCAGTAAAATAAGGTTGAGATTATAGACTAATGGTGAGAGGCCTCATCTATCAGTTTAAATCATTGTGCCCATGAGAGGTGGGGTTAGGTCTTACTGATGCTTATACTCTCTATCTGACCTTCACGTGTCAATAATAATAATAACAAGGATGTAACACAAACAAGTGTTAACAAACAAGTAAACAATACCACAACCCTCAGAAAACACACGCACACACATGAAAAAAGCAGAGGAAGCACAATCTGAGGATTGGTCTGAATCAGAAACAGAGAGCCTCTTGAAGCAGGAGACGACTCTGAACCATGAGGAGAGAGGAAGCCGAGGCTCCAAACCTCCACCTGCATGGTCAAACCCATGAGATATTTTAATTATTGATTATACCTGAGAATTAGGTGACCACGCCCCTTTTTGAAAACAAGTTATTCAAAATTCATATTTATATTTAATTATAAAAAATATAAAAAAGATATTTCTGCTGAAAACAAAAAATGTAGTAGTTAGATATGGCAGTTATTGATGATACCTGAGAATTTGGTGACCACGCCCCTTTTTGAAAAAAAGTTATTCAAAATTAATATTCATATTTAATCATAAAAAATATATTTCTTCTGAAAACAAAAGTTGTAGTAGTTAGATATGGCAGTTATTGATGATACCTGAGAATTTGTTGACCACGCCCCTTTTTGAAAACAAGTTATTCAAAATTCATATTTATATTTAATTATAAAAAATATAAAAAAGATATTTCTGCTGAAAACAAAAAATGTAGTAGTTAGATATGGCAGTTATTGATGATACCTGAGAATTTGGTGACCACGCCCCTTTTTGAAAAAAAGTTATTCAAAATTAATATTCATATTTAATCATAAAAAATATATTTCTTCTGAAAACAAAAGTTGTAGTAGTTAGATATGGCAGTTATTGATGATACCTGAGAATTTGGTGACCACGCCCCTTTTTGAAAAAAAGTTATTCAAAATTCATATTAATATTAAATCCTATTTATTCATAAAAAATACAAAAAAGAAACAAATGCTGAAAACAAAGGTTGTAGTAGTTAGATATGGTAGCTATTTATAGTATTTGAGAGTTTAGTGCGTGTACTTGGCTTAAAATAAAAACTATTGTTCGTTTACACAGCTGGTATTGGCATTTGTTGACGCTCCCTAAGTGCTTTTCCCGGCACTTGCGGCGCATTGGATTCAATGGATTTCTCTGCATTAAAACAGCGCATTGGATTAGAAAAATCGATGTTGTAGTAGTTAGCCCATGTAGAGGTGATCATTTTGGCACAATTACTTTCGTTTAACAACGTAGCTTTCGTAAGATATTCACCGCGGAAGTCCGAATCTGTGAATATCAAGCTAACTTTACCGAACTCTAATCCACTGCACCAGGACCAAGCACGGAGGGATGCAGTTCTCCTGAAAACTACTCACTCATCATAGTGGAGTGTCAACATACGCAAGATTATACACGTACTTATAGGCGCTGCTGATGCACTGCCCACAGGGGGTGGCTCTAAATCCTAAAGCCTGCCTATAGTGCACACTTATTACTGTGCTACACACATTTATATATATAATGCAGTTTTTAAACAATCACAATACATTATCCCAGAGAGAGTTTTTGTGAAATCATTATTTATCATAACATTTCTCAATGTTGTTATTGATTGTGTACATTAAACGTGTAACCGAGAAGGTCTAGATAGTGTTGTAAAATGTATTTAGCTCTGAGAGCACAAACGAGAGACTCTTTTCCAACTGCAGCCGTGGTTGCAGTCTGGCTTTTTTCTCACATTCAAATCAGCATAACCAAGGGTGGCCGCTTAACTGCCTGATGTAAAACGCTAAACAGTATGTTACACACGTATTATTATATGTTAATTGTTCTGCACTCCCTCTTTTTCCCCCTGAACTATTGTACATGACTTTCAATGTTAAATGAAAAATACATTTATTCAATTCAAAATGTAAGATTATTTGTTCACTTCACAACAATGAAAACTGAATCAAAAGTATATTTTAATGCCACACCCGAACATGCTCTTGGGCTCATGTGATTTAGAAATCAATATTTATGGTGGAATGTTGTCACACAGACCTGAGTCATTTGTTTTTAAGCTCAACAACTGGCATCCTCCGCCTGTGAGAGAAGTACCTTCTGTTGCCTGTCCTGTCATTTACCAGGTCAAACATCTTTTCCTGGAAACATTATTACATTGTTTTTTAAAACTGCAGGTTATTTAATCAAAAATAAAATTGGACAAAAAGGGAATACATTAGATTTGAAATAAATAATAAAAACTATATAAAAAAATGTTTTGAATGTTACGAAATGTTGTTTTGTTTTGGCCAAATAAACACATCGTAATATAGTCATATCATACCTCACTTTAAACCTCCTTTAGTCACATGAATGAGTTTTACCATTTTTACACAGACGTCCAAAAAAGACAATTAAACAGAACATTCTCTACATTTACCTCTGGCCAGTGGAACAAAAGAAAACTGTGAACCTTCAATAACAACATCAACAACAGCTTGTTCCAATGGAAATCTTATTTCAAAACAAACAAAATTGGCTTCAATTAAAATAGTTTTCAATAAGTGTTTAGTAACTTTGTTGTGATGTTTGGAGTTAAAACTTCAGTGAAAATGCTGTTGTGAAGTGTGAACAGCATGTCCCTTCTGCAGAGCCCTCTCCTCATGTTTGGAGCGGGGCCAGACTGCTGCCTAAGCCTTCGCTATAACTCAGATGCTTAGAGCAGCTCTCTTGCTCGACAGATTTGCTTTGCTGGTTTCTCACCAGAGCTCGACTGTTTTGTCTTAAATTTTCATTACATTGCACTAACCTTCCAGTGCACCCTGCAGTATCTGTGCTCATCACAATCTTCTATTTCTTTCTTCTTTCATTTAAAAATGAAAATATATTATCAGCCTAGGCATTGTCCGTATGCACACTTTTGGCTCAAACTTGACAAAATCTTGAGTATTATTGCAAAAAGAAGAATGAAATTGCAAAAAGAAGAATGAAATTGCAAAAAGAAGAGTGAAATTCTGGCAAAGAATAAGGTCAATGGATTCAAGAATACAAATAAATATTCTTGACTGGAAACCAAAAGGGAAAAAACAAGAAGGCGGAGAAATAAAACAATTGATAAAACAAATCGAAGAAGACGCAAAAGCACAAAATATTTAATTAATCGACCTGGTAAATCTGACGAAGGAAAACTGCACCACATTTCTTGAAGCACTGTAGGCACATCCCTAAGCCCATTCAAAGGAGCTCAGTGAGTTTTTTTTTAGCAGGTGAGGCCACTTTTAAAGAGGCCAAGTCCTGCAGGGCCTCCCCCCGGGTCGCTCCCCTCCTTCTCGGTCACATCCCCAAGAGCTCGCACCTGTAAGTCCACCTGCTCAGGGAAGTGAGGCGGGATTCTCTGGCAATAAGGCCAGAGTCAACCGTGAGGCATAGCTTTTTTTTCTCACTCGATAACTCCGGGCTAGGGTATAAAAAAATTAAAAAAGTAGTAGTAGTAGTAGTAGTAGTAGTGGTAGTGGTAGTAGTAGTAGTAGTAGTGGTAGTAGTAATAGTAGTAGTCGTTGTAGTTAGTATTAGTATTAGTAGTAATAGTAATAGTCATTTATTCAAAACGTAAATACAAAGGCCAAAAAAATTAAAAGTATAAACATGATACAAAGTATACACCGCAATACACATATAGAGAAGGGGTTTGACAAAGCAGACGCATGTTACGTCCCAACACACACCAAACAAAAAGAGAGTTGACGGAAAAGCTTGTTTGAAAAGATGGGTTTGATACTGATTTGAAGTGAGTCTGAGTTTCTAATGGGCAGTGGGAATGAGTACCAGAGGGTTGGGGATGGCAATGGCAAAGGCTCTGTCCCCAAGGTCCGGCGGTTAGTGCGGGTGACGGGAGTGAGGGGGTTGGAATCAGGATGTGTTTGCTGCGGCTGGACACCTGAATTTCTCCTACGGGGATTAAAAAAGTATTTATCTATCTATAAATGTATTATTATAAAAAGTTCATTTCCACAGCCAAAAGTTGCTCCAAGTTGTAGAGCCATAGAGTCAGAACAGAGTTATTATGGAAGTCTCGTTAAGTTTTAATAGGAAAATTATTGGCAAATAGACTGAAACACCTTGTCATTAGATCAAGTGCTGATTTGAACGGTCATCTGTTTTGCTTCATCAGCTGTAAAGAGTATCTGAAAGTATATGTTAGTAAGAAAGTATTCTCTCCAAATAGTGCGGGGTGTGGTTTTTGCTGCACCTGCATTCCTGTGGCTATCGCCCTGCAGCACTTTTACAAGCTGTTTCTTTACTCATTGTTTATCATGTTGTTTTGATTCTGGGCTGATTCATTAAGTTGGCTCATGATGAAAGCTGATTCACAACCGTTTCTTTATAGGGCCAATATGTCCGAGTCAGTGGTTTGCTTTCAGTCAGACCTGTTTTATTTGTTCCATGTTGTTACATATTTGTTTATTTGTTTACAACACAAAAATGGTCTACATATAAAACAACATCACAATAGATCAGGTCACACTCTCCTAAAGTTAGTAATAGATTAATTTGTTCTATCAAATTTTAGAAAGGTACAGCAGTGTAATAGCTTTAAACCTTATCCATAAAGAATAGACTGAAGACCTGGCTCTATAGGGATGACCGATGGAAACTTGGACACATTTACATTGTTTGATGCTCAATGTTTATTAAGGTGTACTGTCCCTTTAACAAATACATTGGAATTATGAAAAGTGAAATTTGACATACATTTTGATAATATTGTTGATTATGATTTGTGTTTTCATTCATTTGCATTCTTGTTAAATGTTATCTTATCTATTAAGGCCAAATGTTTGTATAATCTGTGCATTGATCTGAAGGCATTTAGGCTGGAAAATGGAAACAGTCAATTTAAATTAGAACAAGCAGAACCCACATAACCTGTTTTTACTCTGACTCGACCTGACATGACCTACGATCATGAGGAAGAATCTCAGTGGTTGATTGTCATTTTGGATTGTCCTACTTGAGACAAACTATGACCCGGCCCAATAGATGTTGCAAAGTGGAAGCAAATACTGCAGTTTTTAGAAATATAAGTGTAGCTGCCGTTAGAGGCAACTCTCATTGTTTAGAGTTTAAAATATTGACTTTAAAAGGTTATAAATCATACGAATATTACAAATGGTTTAGAATTATGCAAAATTGGTGCGATTTAGGGTTAATTTGTTTCATATTTTGTTCATTCAGACACTCTAGAAATGTAGGAACCATTTGTTTGTTCCATCAGAGAAAAGGCTTTTGGGGGAATGGTTTTCCAGGCACCACCTTTTTTGTGTTTGTTTATTGCCTCTCGGGCCACGAGGTCCTTCGCTGTGTCCAGGAGAGAAAATGTGCTTTGAACATTAGGTAAAGCCGGATTCCTAAAGAAGAAGAAGTCACAGTTTATTTTATTCCCCATTTTGTTAAAGCGGCCAATGAGTTCTGAGGACATTTTCGTCACATTGTATTTCTAGGACTCCTCTGGACAAATAAATGTCTGTTTAAACACAAGAATGATTTTGAGCCTTGATTAAACTCAGAGGGACTTGCCACTTGGTCATATAGCTTTAATCCATAGTGGTGTTTTACAAGATATTTTCCCATTAATGTAATCCATAGCTTGAAAATATCCAAATAATAATTTATCAGTGTTGCATTAAGTGAAATATACTGAATACCCTCAATAAATACCACAGTGAAGTAGCGTGTTGAAATGTCTGGGTAGAATTGTAAAATATCTGTAAACATCCAAATAGGTGAACATAAAATGCTTTTATAATGTGCTTTTATGGTCAATGACTCTTCTGGCCACCCTGGAAAAGCCATGTTCCAGCTTCTTCCTTCTGGCATAAGATATCGTTCGCTGAGATGCAGGACATCTCGTTATGCTAAGTTTTTTTCCACAAGCTGTTATCAGTTTGAACAGAGCACTTTAATGGTTTAATGATTAGCACTTGTATAGATACTGTTTTAGCCGATCGATTTCACAGTGACATTTGTTTACTGTTTTATTTCTGTACTTTTAATGTTGTGTTATGTCTGTATTTGTCTGTGCACACTGGTGACTTCTTGCTAATGTATTCCAATGTGGTTTTTTTTTTTACTGCAAATGGCAAATAAACTGAATCGGTCTCTTTAAAAACAGATTCAGACCGGAAGTAAATTAATGGAACAAGGGATTTCTGTGAGTACGTAATAATTTAGGAGATTTGAGAATCCCTGACAATTAGATTTACATAAACTCATTGAATTGTGGATGTTTTAAAATAAAATTGCAGTTCATAATTGCCTCTGTTGTCTGCATTTCTAAATGGCAGTGTTATTGATGGTGAACATGAGAAGGGCTTTAGTGGTGAGAGGAGCCCCCTGTTGAAAGGCACACGCGACCACGACCTCTAGTGTTACTGCAGCCATCAGCATGGGGGCTTTGCACATTAACAGATCTGAAATTCAAGCCCTCACCCCTCTGCTCTGAGAAAGATATCCAGAGGAAACATTCTTCTATCTAGACTACTCAATTATTATTTGCTGCAATCTGTATTTACATTAAAAAGTATCATTTTAGTCTCAACTTTGAGCATCTGTATATAAAGAGTGATGAGAGTCCAGGAGCCAGTCAGCCCCCCCCAACAGTTTTTTCAGTACCCCCAAATACTTTTCGGAATCAAGGCTGAAATAGAATCCAATGAATGATAATAATAAAAAAAAATGATTTATGGAAAAATACTCCTGGCCTCTGGAGACACCAATCTCTGTTGTAGTGTATTGCTTCTCTTGCTCTGACTGGACACTACCCAGTCAGAGCAAGAGGATGAGTTCAGGTTCTACCATGACTGGTAGATTTCATAAATTCACTAGGGTTAACCACTGCAGCCACACAAGTTGTACATCCCTGATCTATGGGCTACAATTATTAAGGCGTGATCTGCCACCGTGGCCTAAACCTCAGTAAAGCTCCACAATTTACCAACATAATTTATACATCAACTACCAAGTTCGAAGAGAATTACCAGAAACCTGTAGAATTTCCCATTGAATTCCAAAAGGCAATATATTGGTAATGCAAAGTACCCAAACTTATAAGGCTTCATAATATCCAATGATTAGTACAAAGAAAATTCAAATAGATATCTTTTAGATTGTAAAACTTTGACAGAATGTTTGAGGTTTAGTGAGAAAATTGATCACTATCATGGGTGAAAGAAACCTTTATGCACCAATTACGAGCGGCTTGCACCATAATATATACATTGAAAATAAACACAAAATTAAGATATAAAACATTTTATTTTCGCTATTCACAATTAAATAAAAGGGATACATCAGACAGCATCTGACCAGCACAGCCAAGCTAAGAAACAGTACATGCAATCCTTGATACCAGAACAAATGGATTGGCGATGCATATTGTAATCAAGGTACGCACCAAGCAGACTTGCTTTAGTGTCAGATAATTCAGCTTCAAATGGTCCATTACATAAATAAAGTAAAAAAAAAAAAAAAAAAAAAAAAAAAAAAAAAAAAAAAAAAAAAAAAGCAATATATTCTTCGCCACAATAATAACTGACAGTCGAAATGTATGGTCTTGTTATCAGTGATGAGCTACTTCTGGTCTGAGCTTTGCCTTAGCGGACAAACAAAAATGACAGTCACTGAAGCATCTTCATGGACAAGTTAATAGACAAATTACCAGGATGATTATGGAAAATGTAGAGTGCAAAGGTGTAATCTGGTCTTTAAATGACTATCCACAGAAGAAACTGAACGCTGATATTCTTCAAAACCTCACAGTAGGACAGGTACTACAGTACATCTAGTTAGAAACCTTAATAAAAACACCAAAAGGCAAAAACCCCAGAGTACTTCAATTACAGTCATCCACTATGGACAATTTAATGCTGGATTAAACCACTGCTTCAACACAAAAAGTCCAGTGTCCAGAAGGGCCAGACTTCACATTTGTGGCATCATCTTGCACAGTTTCAACGGATGAGTATTATGGCCACTGCAGCTCGACAGGAGAGCATTTTCTCCAGTAGTGCATAACATTACCATCGACAAAGCTTTTAGGCAGGGCCCTCGACAAGGACCTTCAAACTGTTTAAAATTATAGCATGCAACATTTACAACTAAAAACCCATGGCATTTTAAAATCATATTACAGATATAACAAACTCAATAAGCACTCACTGATGCAAGTTAAAAATAGATGTGTTCTTTAATTCATTGAATAAAGGCTACATTAGAAAACTATGAGGGCTCATGTCATATCTATAGTCATTAACAACTGTAATATAAGGCTTAAGCCATTAACAATCCTAAAATCGCTTATCAAAAACTCTCAAAAATGAGCATTTATAACCGTCTCTTGCAGTTTTAATTCTAAATTTCTTACAAAAGAAAAAGTGCATTAATCAGTATGAACCAATTACATTGCCATTACATTTAGTAAATACTAGAAAATGAAGCAGTAGCAGCATTAGGGTTCTCCACTTGCCTACAGTAAATTCAATGATCAACTTGAATTTTTAAATTTCTATCTCATCTCACCCTCTTGTTAACTAGAAACATTGTATTCAACAGCAAAACCATCTTAAAGCTATGGCATGCCGACAAAAAAAAAACAAAAAACCTTAACCAATTTGTTACTGGGCAGACAGACATTCAATCATGCATTAATTTAGATATTCTAACCATGCAGAATAGTACTGCAATGGACTGACATATCTTAAAAGGGTGCAACATAAACTTTGCTAAATGACCTGTAGATTCATATGCACAACATATGGTGTGGCAGTTGTCAAGAATGACATTTGCTGCAATATTACAATGTAAAACATTATGCCTACTGGTCATACCTGCGTCAATCAGCTGACTACAGGCTGGGACAGACATCCTATTGCTGGTTCAGAATACATGTTTATGTACCCTCCTAGTAACTCCTCCAGCTATCATTAGGGATAAGCAATTATTAAGCTAAGGGGATATTCATGTGCAGACCCTTCCCCCTCATGATTTAAAATCCTCATGATGTATTTAGCTAAAGTCACTTTTGAGTGCAATGTGTTTAGCGAGGCATTCAGTTCGAGAGGTATATATACTGTACATCCCAGTGTACCCTCCTCCCCCCTCCCTCCCTCACAGACAAACACAGGGTTGACAAGTGGGGCCTCCGCTGAGTGGGCAGTCAAAGCCAGCCCCATCCCTTCGGCTCATGTTTCTCTCGATGACATGGTGAGTGCAGTGTGTTTGCAGTAATCCTCCCCCATAATAACCTGCAAATACAGACAATCCATTAGGGCCTAACCGGTAAACTATAGATCAAGTGCTAGACTCACTTGGATCAGAAAAATTGTTTTGGGAACAAAGTGTATCATTGTATGTCAATGAGCTGGGTGTGTCATCACATCCAAATTGTTGTATTTCAGGGGCCATTTTCACAGCAACAAGTTTGCACAAATGTGTAAAGTTTAATTCCATTGTCCGTAGACTAGACCTCAGTTACACATTGGAAGTATTATTGTCTAGTTATTCTTATGAATAAAAAAAAGGTTCAAATTGAATACAGTGCACAAAACAGCATTATCAAGTAAATTTTACATGTTGTGCGGATCACCCTTTGTTGCCATGTAAACGGAGCCATAATGTTTACATACAAGACGTACCGAGCAGGTCTATGTCCTGATCAAACACTGATGAACAGCTTAGACACCATAACAAGCCGAAAGACGTTCCTTTAGTAAAGGAGGAAACTGTTCGGAAAACTGTTGCCAATTCTCTTCTCCAACTTGATCTTTGAAGCCATGCAGAATCTTCAGAGAGAAAATTATTGATCAATGACAAGATGTTTACAATAGTGTATTTACACACCTACAATTCCAAACCACACATCAGATAAATCATTTCTACAAGCTTTAGTCAGATTTCGAATGTCTGATAAAGATATAATCATTGTGTGGCGAGAACACAAGCTTGATTTACATCTTACCTTATAAAACATGTCTCTCAAGTCGTCTTTTGGAGTTACCCAAGATGCTACAGCATCACAAAAGAAGATGAAGTCCTAAAGAGGAGAAAGAAAATGTGGGAAGAACCTACATTTCAGCTGAAATAAATTCACATCAAGGCAGCACCATAGACATTCAAAACCTTTTGATTTTGAAGTATGCAACTCACATTTTGGCAATTCACAAAAAGACAAAAGTTCAGTATTTTAGGGATTTCAGATGACCAACAGAAAGACCGTCAGGAATTAATAAAATTGGTAGGTTGCGAAGAATGAGATCTAGATAAATGGATAATCCCAAATTAATTATCAAAACATTCCGGTTTTCTGGATCAGAAAAAAAAGGAACAAAATTTTTCATTTTATTATTTCAATGAGCTGGGTTTATCATCATTTCCAGATACCGATTTTGTTGAAATTGTAATAAAAAAAGGTGCCAACTTCCCCCTAATGTTCACAAAGCCAAATATGACTTTTGCAAGTAATAAAAGCTTTGTTAAAAAGTCCGGTAGTTGAGACCCCGCAATGCAATGGGTCGTGCCTACTGCTCGTCAAAATGCAAGCGAGTGTGGCATTAAATACCTACAACTTTATTGAATCAAAGTAAAAAACTAGCCGCTCAAGCCAGGCTCTGGGGAGGGAAGAGCGGGGGTGTAGGGAGTGTGGATGGACAAAGGGACCAAGCTCCATATCTTGTCAGGGGAGAGTAGCTGAAAACTAACCGCATTACCCTGCTCGCCTACAAGGACCACTTCTGAACCAGGCCATGCGAACACTGGACAGAACCAGCACTCCGAGTGTTTGAACGTGTGTGTCATGTGCTTTGCTGCTGATGCAGTATATGGTTCTGATTTTTACTAAATGTAAAAAAAAAAATATAATTATAAAATCATATAAGGGCAAGGAACCAGTGGTTAAAAGTAGTCTATGTTCATTCGGAAATCAGCGTACACCACATCCAGACCAGGTTGTGGAATCTGAGCGTACCAAACGTTCATGTTGAAATTGATAAATCGCTTCACTTTCTCCATACCTACACTTCACACATATTGCACCATACAAAGCCTCCAATGAGGCCCATTGTCCCATATCACCCAGCCAAAACTCTCCAGTAAGAGCAGCCTACCTGCACAACTCCCCCTGGGTTGACTCCTATCATGACACAAATTCCCCTAAAGGCAGAGTCTTTTTCCTCATTATCCCTGATATTTCTCAACGAAGAACACCTGAAGGAAACAAAAAGGAACATTGATACAGAGCAGAGGAATAGCAACAGCTTCCATATACAGAGACTAACCATGGTCTGATGAACTGGGGCAGCTGTGGAGCCACTTCCTGAGGACAGACATAACCGAGTCTACCAATTGTAATGGCTAAATAAAAAAAGAGGGCACAAGTTAAGGAGATGCAATAAGTTAAAGCTGGAAGACTTGGGACCAATGCACACCTCGACACACATGACCGTTTAATAGGATTTTTTAAAATAGCAGCTGCAGATAAAGCCTAACAATGAAAGACCGCACGCTGATTTTCCCACAGAGATTAATGAGAAAAGCAGGTGTTTAACCAAATTCATTGCAATTGTTGCCTTGTGTCAAAGTGTTCCCGTCTGCATTGGCCAATACAATAATCATGTACCTGTGTTTTCCAAGAGTGTCTTGGGTGTGTTGGGCCTATTGATTATTTCCACTAGGTGTGGAAGAACTACACCCACGTAAGGCTGCATCTCTGTACCTGAAAATTATAGAATAAAATGTAGATGCAGGTATTGCGTTTAAAGGAGCTAGGAATGAGACAACTCGATCTTAAGAGTATTCTAGAGAAAGGCAGTAGGGCACAAGTAGGAGTGTTGTTGGCATTTTTAAAGGAAACTGGAGTGTATGAGAGGATATAGGTTATGTTAGAAGCATAGGGTGTTGTGTTTTTATTTACTTTATTATTAGCAGTATTATTCCCCCTCCCTTGTTGGGACCATAGACTCAAAGTCTATAGTTTGGGTTTTAGATTGTGAGCCTATTGTCTGACCCACTCAGTAACAGAAGGTGGCGGTAATGCTCCACTAGTTTGCTGCCAACCGCCGTAAAAACCCAAAGAAGAAGAAGGTATTAAGATCTGCAACTTCTTTAACCCCAATGAACAGGCCAAATATAAACTATTAAAATCCATGTTATCCATCAGTTTTCAACCCCAAGTCCTTTACTGGCACATTATGACAGTATTATGTAGTCAGTACAGGAAGCGGCAGCCAATCGATGTTGTCGATGTTCAGCCTGACCCGTCTTCAAGAACCTGTTCATGACCTAACAGTTGACAATTGCTCATCAGCAGCCCAATTATTAATAGTGTGCCAATAAATAGATCTTTCTGGATCAGAAAAAATAGGAACAAATTGTATCATTTTTTTTCAATGAGCTGGGTTTTTCATCATTTCCAGATATAAAAAATTAACCAAAACCAGTAAACCAAAAATGTGAACCTCTTTGGATAGAAGCAAGGTGTAGACTTTCCATTAATACTACCCAAAAGTCAACTATATAAATGGTTTGTAGAGATGAAAGCTCACCCATTTGTATAGAGATCTCCCCGATGGCCCAAGTAGCATTGTTGCACACCGAAATGAACTCTGGGTTGAGGTTAAGTCCCAATATTGGCATAAACTCAGCTAAAAACAGTAAGAAAATTTGAATACAACCAATAACAGCAACACTGTCTATTAAAATGCACAACTCACCTATGCATGGTTTAACATGGGGAAAGCAAGCTTTCGTCAAATCACCAAGGAGAGCAAAAGAACTCTGCCTCACCTCAGGCATTGTGTCCTAAAAAACAAGCACATCACAAGTGGTTAAATGTTAATGATTAAATAAAGCAATGAATATAACATCACAAATTCAAAATAAAAGCCAATACAGCAGCATTATTAAACCCAGAATTTTACAGTATTCAAAATGGACCAAATTGCTCGATACGTTTGGCACATTTATATATTACAGAAATGAATTCATCTTTCAGTAGTTTATATTCTGATGCCACAGCAGAGTTTGTTTGTTTCAGCCAATTAGTAGAAAATTCCCAAGTTCACATGCATTTCCTTTCCGTAGCCCAATAAGCCCATAGAAAAATAAAACAGGGGGTACCTGCATGCATTGAAAAAGTAATGTCATGATGTTTGAACGGGCTACCAGCTGCTCCACATTGCTGCCCAGACCTTCAGCCAAACCACTCAGCAGATCCAGAGCCACAATCATGAAATCTTTATCTGGAGCCTCATATTGATCTGGATGCTGGCTGTACATCTGAAAAGGTCACAACATTGTTAAATGTATGAAAGACATTGCTGGTAAGATTTTACACTGGATGTTATATACCATTGCCTGAGCTAAGGTCTTCTGAACCAGAGTAACACAACGCTGATACACAGGTTCACAATAAGGAAGAAAACCACTCTGCAGAGCTGTAGCCACTGAAGACAAACACTGGGAAGGGGAATAGAATTATTTAGTAAATGAAAGGAAAAGCCTGTTAAACTACATCTGTACCTCCAGAAGTGGAAATAAATCTTTGTCCTCATCCTTAAGCTCATTCCATTTGGCAATCAGAGGGGGCATCAGTTTCTGAATGTACTCCTGTTTGTGGAAGACAACAGGAACATTAAACGGAGTAAAAAATACAACCACAAAAAACCTCAAAACACATTTTTGCTTTCACAACTTACTGGTTGATTGAGGTGGTGCCCAACAGAGTCTGCCAAAGTCCCAATAGCATCATACAGAATAAGCAAGTTCTTGTGCTGGTATTTCCCAAACGCAAAGACTAAAGTGTCCAGTATAAAGCCTAGGTATGGAACCAATTCTGTACACGCCTCCTCTTCGAGTGTAGCAAAAGCACTTAACGATAAAAGGAATATTAGATAAGACAAGGTTTTGTTTCTCAACACATTTAAAAAATCGACAATCTGGATCAGGCAGAATAGGAACAAAGTTTTTCATTGTAAATCAATGAGCTGGGTGTGTCATCATGTCCAGAAATAAACATGCTTTTCCATGACCTTGTTCTCACCTGCATGCAGCTTCCTGAACCCGCTTGTTTCCATCCAGGATTCGTTTAAGGAGTTCTGTCATAAGAGGTTTGAGGTGAGAGTCAGGGGGCTGGGATACTACCCAGTGTGCATAGCGACTTAAAGTCCAGCAGGCAATGGAGCGCACCAGGGCCTTCTTGTCACATAGACCCTGAATGAGGTGAGGTATGAGCTCTGGCAGGTACGGCACCATGCCCTGCATGCAGCCTAAAAACCCAAAAAGATTTGTGATCAAAATGTAAAAATACACTTTGATTTGAAAAGGATTTGAAATAATGCATATTGTAACCAGATTGTCACCAAATACAAAGTCATACTACACTGGATTGTGTGAAATTTCAAAAGTAGTTTTATACATTTACATTGATATAGTGTGAAGAAAATACTTACACTGGGAGAAAATGCACACTGTACAGGAATTCCCCATGCCTTGAATCAAACCCCAGACCCCCAATATTTGGAAAACTCTTCACACCTTCAGCTATAGCTCCCAGCACCAGGATGCCAGACTCCTTGACAACCCAGTCTGGGTGGAACAGTAGGCCTTTCAAGAGCGGCAGGAGGTGAGGCAGAAGTTCATCCCGAAACACGTTTGCGAGAACATCCAACGCTGCAGCTGAGCACTTCCCTTAAACAACAAGTGTTAAAACATTTCTAAATGTCTAGGGTTAATTTTCCCCTTGGTCCCAAAACGGCACATACTCAGGTTCCAGTCAGACAATGTATCATCGTCGTCGTCATCATCATCGTCGTCATCATCATCTGCTTCACCGCCTTCATGCTGAAGAGTGACAGTCCGCGACTTATGGAATCGAGGCTTGATATCCTGTTCACTATCTGGCACTGCCTCATCCTCTTCCACATCTCCCTTAATAATAAAAAAGTTCATTTATGATCAAAATGCAATTTCCTAATGACACAACCAGAAGAGTTTACCTTCAGTAGTATGATGTCAATTTCTGAATACTTCATACCGTTGACCAAAATGGGTATTAATCTAGTAAATCACAGATCATAAAACTTTAATATATGCTTTTGCATTCATAATAATTTGTGACAGTGAATATATAAGGACTTACTGCACCAAATGACCAGAGAGCACCTCTTTACAGATGGGTTGCTCAGCCAGTGTTAGCCAAAACTCGCAGGCTTCCAGAGACACATTTTCGTCAGGATCCTGGGTGCGCTGCAGCATGTACTGAATAAAACAGAATGGTAACAAAATCTGCTTGTTTTTTTTTTTTTTTTTTTTTTACACAATGACAATATGAATCTTCTCACCTGAATTATACTGTGCATGTGAGGGATGAGACGATCAACCCGGACTTCCAGTAACATTACAAGGGCTCGACAAACATTTTTTCTCACTTCACAGTCCTCATCTGCTGCCAGCGCAAAAAGGCTCTAGATTGAGAGCATGAACATTTACATTTATTTCAATGTTATGTCAAAAAGCCCTGTACAAACAACATACCTCAATAAAAGTGTCAATGTTGTCCATCAAAGCTTGGGCTCTCCCAATTATAAACTGGTTCACACAAGCTATAGCATGGGATCTATAAACAAAAAAAGCATTTTTTAGCAGTTGAATTGTGAAGTTTAGTTGAATAATTTATAAATTAAATTTGGCTCAGACAGTATGAATACTAGCACCTTCAGTCACATCAGGTTTGTAAATGTAATCATATCCAGATATGTATTAAGGGGCATTATGTAGGATTTTTACAAGATATCAAATTTGAAACACTCAAACTGCAGTTGGGCTTTCGCACAAAAATCATTTTCGAAGTTTGTTTGTTTATTAATTTAAATATAGTTCATACACTAGTTCATCACAAAGGGGCTACGTCACTACTTATGTGCAAAAAACCAAGCAACACATTTAAATGTTAATCTGAGAATACATACATTCTTAACACACGTGCACAGAGTTTCTCAGAATTATCTGTTAACGTTTTCATGACAAAAAACACTTAATGTGACCAAAAACGATTGCGATAAACCGGGAAGTAACTTAACATTAGTGGAACATTTTAGGACACATTTGAAGAGGCACCGATTATGGATTTAAGTTTATATTTAGGTCACTCACCGCTGATGTTCACAATTCTTTGTTCGGTTTACATGTAGTTCCAGAGAGTTCTAGTTGATTTGCTAGCCTAGCCACGTCATGGCACAACCTTTAGGAACTAAATATTTTATAAATATTATAAAAAGAATATTGCCCATTACAGCTTTGAATATTAAGGGCCGTCTAGTATTCGTTCGAATATATGTATATTCATAATTTTAATATTCAAAATATATTCGAATTTTTAACTTCATTGCCACATTAAGGACTAAATATACTTGTACAAGCTTGAATAGTCTACACGCAATCTATATGTATAGCACATGACATTTCCCTTCACAATAAACTTTGAACACAAGTATTCAATGGGCGAAAGACTAGACAGGAAGTTCACAGACGCAATTGTGCGGAGCTAACGCCATCTAAAGAGACATGTGGGGAGTGAACCCGCTTGATTAAGAGATTTTGTGTACTCTTTGTTTTAAGGTACAATGTAATTTTTACTGCCATCTAGCATTGAGATCTTATATTGCAGTCCAGGGTACTAGGGAAGCCTTTGATAGACAATGTTGTCTTTGACAGTATTCAACTCATTCACCGGGGCCAAGGAAAGAATCCTTTAGTTTGATAAATGACCAGCTCACTCTATTGTCTTGGCCTATTGAGAGTCGCATGGAGGAGACGTGTAAAGACCGCGATCTGAAGCTGCACAGAGGCTCTGAGTTTTATCATGGATCAATTATAACAGTTTGACAAACATGGTGTGAAGAGAATCATTTTCCTTAAATATTGTTGTTTGGGTTGTTCTTTTATAGGACTGTGGTCCTCCATGGTTCCTTCAAACTTGTGAGGGCACGGTGAAAGCAACAATATCAGTAGCACCTGTGAAATAAAACCACGATTCTCGCATCTTTTTGTCCCTTATCCACTACTGTATTTCAGAATGGCGCATTGACAGATAGTACTCTGCTCATGGACATTTAAAAGTTAAATTCTAAGCCTATGAAAACAATTTTAAAAAAACACACGTAAATATTCTTTAAAGAGATCACTTTTTTGGTTAACATGTTTTTCATGTTACATCCAGGGGGAATGGATGCAAGTGGTGCGTTTACAGACATAAAAGTCTGTCGCTTCCATTACTTATTTTCAATGGCTCCTGCAGCATCGCTGGTCAGTGCGTTCGTGCATGAGGATGATTTAACCCATGCGCAATCCTCAGGTCAAATTGACCTGCCAGTGATTCAAAAACACTATTTGTCTTTTTCAAGCTGAACTTTGACACTAATTTAGGGTCTACTTTTAATCATTGATGGGTCATTTTGACCCCAGGAGTAATAAATTGACTTGCATAACGCCATAACGGTGTGGTCGTGGGAATGAGGGTCAAAACCGATGCATCTCAGCCAACAATCTTGGCCAGGCCTTTTCGCAGTTTCAAGCATGAGTAAGAAAAAGAAAAAAGTCAGCAAATTCCTACATAATGCCACTGAGGATAAAAGATAACACTTGATTGTAAACCTTATTTTGGGGCTGCAGTGCTTGAAGAACTGGAGAAATTTTGGAATCATAATATTTAGTGGTCTGTTTAGGGCATCACTGTCGAGCAGCTCTGACGAGTCTTCACAGATCTTCTGCAGTGCTCCAAATGAGCCCTGAGACACGGACATACACAGAAAGACTGTCAAATGAAACGCAAACATACACAGAGAGAAAAGAATGAGACTGAATCAGACTCAACATTTATGAAAGCTCACAAATTAACCAATTGATTTTTGCATTCATAAATACTCCCTTCTTGGAGTCAACTTAAATAGGTGGGGGAAATGAAGACAATTTTAGGCAGACACTGACCTCACATGTGTTGTAGTCTTCAGAGTTAAGCAAGTTGCAAAGCTGTGGTAGAAGCTCTGGCCATGTTTGTAGTTCCCCCTTTGAGGCAATGGTTGTAATAAGTATACCTATGAAATTAAGTATATGCATTACTAGGGGGGAAGGGGGGGAAGTGTACGTTCTGACTATCATACAAATATCAGATCAGACAGTATGAATACAAACACCCTCATGTACAATCAGGTATTAATGATGCATCATCTCCAGAAACTACCACAGTGTAAACATCCTAAATGCTTACCAATCGTGGCACGAATGAGTGGTGAAGGATCACCAATGTTGTTAAGGCATTCCTTCTTGATGAAGTCCGTAACACCAGGGGGGAAGTTCTGGTAGTGTGCCTTAACATTGTTCTTCAGAATAAGCCCACTTAAAGAACGTGTTGGTTCATCTATAAAAGACCATGGTAAGTGAATAACCAATTTTCTAAAATATTGAAATAATATTTGAAATCACTTGCCTTCAGTCTTTAAACGTGTAAGAACAAATATAAGATAGTTGTTAAAGTCAGGAAACTGATTCAGTTGCTCAAGTTTCTGAAATATTTGGTTAAGAAACTTTTGACCTTGGTGGAAAGAAAATAAAATTAAAGCCGCAAGCGGCGTCAAACGGCCCTCGCCGCACCAAGCCACCCCGCACCACACCGTACCACGCAAAGGAGGTTGCGCCGCCGATTTGTTCCCGTAGCCATAGAAGATTGTTAGTCAAATTGTAATGAATATGATAAGTAGAGCTGGTTTGGCTCCCCATGTAAACTTTGACTCAGTCTGTAGGGGGCGCTAATGGGCCAATTTCAAATATTTCACTTTCACCTGACCTAAACCCTGAAGTTGAACAATGGATTCATGTTTAATGCAAATCAGACTTTGTTTGTGCCAACGGGAAAGAATTGAATGTTGTCAAAAACGGCCAAAAAAACTCACATTTTGCCGCTCCACTGCTCAAACAACTGATCAAAATTCCCTGAAGTAATTTTGATGGTAAATGTGTTGAGATGATTTGGAACAATTTTGAGGCCAATCGGTGAAACGGCCGAGGAGGAGTCGCTTTCCAACCGACGTGTATGAAAATGATTGGTTTTCATTTTTCCATTTTGCAATGAATTTTATGGGCTTCCTGTTTGTCAAAGGGCTTATCCATAATATTTTTTCCATGTCTTGAGGAACATGTGTACCAAATTACATGGTTCTACGACAATTTTGACCTCGAACCCCTCCCATAGGCATTTTCAGATTGGCGGTTTTAGGTGGCGCTATAGAGCCAATTTCAAAATTTAAACTTTCAAATGACCTAGACCCAAGAGTTGAACCATGGATTCAAGTTTTGTGCCAATCACACTTTGTTTGTGCAAACGGAAGCAATTTTTCTATTGTCAAAAACTGAAAAAAAAAAAAAAATACGCCACTTTTTGCCGCTCCACTGCTCGAACAACGTTTCACTGATCAAAATTCCCTGAAGTCATTTTGATGGTACATGTGTTGAGATGATGTGGAGTGATTTTGAGGCGAATCGGTGAAACGACCGAGGCTGGTTTGATGTTTGTGTGAGGTGTACATTTGCAATGAATGGGGAGCGTTTGTCGTCGCCACGGCAACAGGGTAAAAAATAAGCCTTGGACCCTATTGACTTTTTTAATCAAGAGGGCAAAACAGATTTATGTGCAAAATTTCAAACATTTTGAAAAAATTAAATTTGAAAATGCCCATCTAAAACTTTGAAATTGTCTGTAGGGGGCGCTAATGTGTCAATTTGAATCAATTCACTTTCAAATGACCTAGACCCTAGAGTTGAACAATGTATTAAAGTGTTGTGCAAATCAGACTTTGTGCAAACGGTAGCAAATTTAATGTTGTCAAAAACGGCCAAAAAGTGTCACATTTTGCCGCTCCGCTGCTCAAACAATGTTTCACTGATCAAAAATCCCTGAGGTCATTTTGAAGGTAAATGTGTTGAGATGATGTGGAGCGATTTTGGGGCAAATCGGTGAAACGGCCGAGGAGGAGTCGCTTTCCAACCAACATGTATGAAAACTTTTGCTGTTCATTTTTCCATTTTGCAGTGAAATTCATGGGCTTCCATTTTGTCAGAGGGCGGGGCCGTAATAATATTACATGTGTACCGAATTTCAGGACTATAAAACAAACTTCATCTCAAAACTCCCATAGGGGTATTATTTTGGCTGTTGTAGGTGGCGCTGTTCTGGCTTATTGAGTGCAATAAAAATAAACACCAAAATATCAAATTTGTTGCCAGGTCTGATTTTTGGGCAAAATTTAACAACTTTCCATGCATGTTCAGGGGGTTAAAATAAGGCTCAAAGTGCAGAAGAAAAAAGAAAGATTTTTTTTCGACGTCTCGAGCAAAAACAATATAGGTTTCAATGGCACCTGATACATCATTTTAAAGCGTTTAAGTTTACGCACGCAACCGTCACGTTTTGGTGAGTGCACCGCCACCACTTGCATTCACCATTGTGAAAGCAATAGGCCCTTACCCCGTTCGGGGCTCGGGCCTAGTTAAGATGGTGAAAGGATACTTGTTGGACAGCTCTTTGAGTGACTGTGTTGGGAGATTGGGAATCCTTAAGCAGCTGGAGGACCTGCTGAAGTCCCTGTTCATCTGGCTGCCACTCCATCCTTACAATAGAAATTATAAAAAATTCATATTAGACACATTTAAAAACAGGAAAATCAAACCAAAAACAATTCTATATTTTTCTTATTCAAGCTTACGTCACAAAAGCCAATGTGGCAAAACTGAGGACAACATGAGCAGCTAAAATCTCTAACCCAGATTAATCGCTTCAAGTTAATCCTGCCCCCACCCCCACTCAACCTGGTCATTACAAGGAAATACTGTCGCCTTCAACCAAAATTTACTTCATTACATGAGCCAACTGCATGGTGTCCTGCACGTGGACCCGCAAGTTACCTGCAAGGTCCGGCTTGACAAATTGCATTGAAATCAGCAAAGTTGCGTATTAATTTTTACTATAAACTGTTTGGGTCCGTGTTGTAGCAATGGCTACTCTAGACATTTAAGTTTAAAGTAAGTTCTATCCACCGAGAGTTTATAGAGACTTTTGACCTCCTGAACAGTTGCTCAGGTTAAGGCCTACTTCTCAAAGGCATATCCTGACAGCACACCGGTCTTGGATTTTAAAAGTAGCGTTGACTGTAGGGTAATTCAAGGGTATGTAAGCATTGTTATGACATCACAATAACACTAAGATGGGAAGCAAAGACCAAGATATAGCGGCATTACCAACCACGTGTAACAAACTCTGAACACAACTCGAGGTAGCCGCGATAAGCTAAGCGTTACGCTAGTTTACTAGTATTACAATGGCAATGCTAATGCTAAATAGCATACACGCAAATGCTAAATAACGCGATCGTACCACTGGACGGGCGCTTACAAACGAATAGACATCGAGTGAATTCTACCGAAAGAGAATTTTGAAATGGCTATTAAAATACCAAACAAATACATACAATGACAAATTCAAATCGATAGGGGGAAACTGGGCCACTCCTTCTGCTCTCGCAGCGGGTCTTCAAATGGGGCGAGCGGCGCACGAGGGCAAGAACCGTTTTCACGAGAACCGGAAGTGCCGCCTTGTCGTGTTGGATCACTTCCTGTTGGCGTTTGCTAGCTTTTTTGTGACTGTCTCGTATTAATCATGCCAAAGCAAAAGAAATCGAAGCAAAAGACCGTAAAGAGCAAGCAAGAGCCTCAAAGCAAGAACCTCGTATCGGAGGAAGCTCTTGCTTTGGTTCTTGATTCGTCGTCAGAAGACAGTGAGTTTGACGCAGATGAACAAGAAATGTTTGAAGATGGGATGGATCCATTGTTAGATCGGTAAGTGAAACACATTAAAACATTGGGTTTTTACCATGGATCTATTATAATAACGGTTTTTACCTTGAATACAATAGTTCATATTATATTGGCATTGCCTTTCTAATTTTACTTTTGAATGCGCTGGAAACGGCTGAAAGTCCTAAGTAGCTCTGTAGCTCAGTTGTTGTTTTGTGCTATACAATTTTTATTTGTATTACTTTTTTCTATCTGAGATGTTGCTGCAGTAAAGTGTTCATGGTTTAACACTGGTTCAGACCGGAGCGGAGAGGAGTCTGGTCTGAGCCAAGCGGATCAGGTGAAACTCCACTGGAGGAATGCTAACTTTTAGAAAAATGCTAATGAAGCGTTTAGTCTTTTACTTTGGACTAGAGCAGAGAAAATGGTCTGAACCAAGCGGCTACTCCAAGCGGACTTATGACCCACCTCTGCTGCTGTGACCCGTCCTGCTCCACCTCTGCTGCTGTGACCTGTCCTGCTCCACCCAGAGGCTACACCACCTCTGCTGCTGTGACCTGTCCTGCTCCACCCAGAGGCTACACCACCTCTGCTGCTGTGACCCGTCCTGCTCCACCTCTGCTGCTGTGACCTGTCCTGCTCCACCCAGAGGCTACACCACCTCTGCTGCTGTGACCTGTCCTGCTCCACCCAGAGGCTACACCACCTCTGCTGCTGTGACCGTCCTGCTCCACCTCTGCTGCTGTGACCTGTCCTGCTCCACCCAGAGGCTACACCACCTCTGCTGCTGTGACCCGTCCTGCTCCACCTCTGCTGCTGTGACCTGTCCTGCTCCACCCAGAGGCTACACCATCTCTGCTGCTGTGACCTGTCCTGCTCCATCCAGAGACTTCTCCATATTTGCTGCTGTGACCTGAAGGGCTGTTGCTGATTATTATTACTGTTGATAGCTTTTTAGAATGATCAATTTTATTTTTTATTTTTGCTGCCACTGGACACCTAAATTTATCCTACAGGGATCTATAAAGTATCTATCTATCTAATATACAGTTATAAATGTTTTATTACTATTTTAGCAAATCAATGAACTGCCACTGGCAATGATCTTCCCGTTCATTCATTTTCATATTTAGCCAGAGCCAATAGTATTGGGGAGGCTCGATATTTGACCCTGAAGACATGCACAAATGTTGCCACATGGGGGGGTCTAATGCATGTATCTATAATAGGTCTAATGCGAGCGGTTTGGCAACATTTTTTATTAAATTAACGTTTCGAGATTATCCGACGCATGCTGTCTCTACACCGCCCCCTGGAAATCTCACTTTTTCTGAGTCTTTGGGGGAAAGTTTTCAAATTTTGGAGTGGGGAAACAAAATTCGGAAAACTGATGGATCTCTACGAGACAAGCATAAAAGATGGTCAGAGTACCCCTCCGACAAACAGCAAGCTGTTTTTTAAAATTTGTTTATGTTGTTGTTGTTGCTGTATTTAACCCTTGTGACCCTAACCTTATGGGACTACAGATGGAAATTAGCCTTTGGCCATAATCTGTAATGTTTACATTCATGTTTCCAATGTGTCTGTTCATTGACATGCACACGGCCTTCACCGCTGACCTAAATATTATAGAAATAAATTAGAAGAATTAAAAAAAATATCTAAAATATATATGTATGTATGTATGTTTGTATATATATATATATATATATATATATATACATATATATATATATATATATATATATATATAATTCTTATTAATTTATATATTTATTTTTCCACAAACTACATTGGTTGCGCAGCTTCCAACTCCAGGTCGTCATTTGACAGGTCTGGCGAGGTTTTTTCCAAACATCACTCACTCAGCATCATGTGTTACTATGGCCTATAATCTGATTGGGCGCTGATTGGTCAGAGCACGAGCCCTTCTGTGCACGTGCATTAGAGCCACACACACATAATTGGCGCAAAGCATCAATGGAGCTCGTTCACAGCGCAGAACCGGGAGGACCAGACGATGCCAAAATATGGACGAGTTCTGCTAATCACTTGGTCCCATGCACTACTGATCCATTCATTTGATTAGGAGGCCATCTTGGATCGCCAGGGCTTGCTAGGCCTTAGAATCTACATTGCTGGCCCACGATAGCTTAAGTCAATGAAAACGAACCTGTGGCATTAACCAATCAATGTCAAGTTTCCTTCCTCAGGGCCAGCTAGTAGGCCCAGCGAAGCGTCAGAGCCTGCACCTCTTCTGATTGGATACACAATATAGAGAGACGTGACAATGCAGACCATGGATCTTTATGTTATGCCACTTATCAAAGTGGCACCCGGGAGGCGGTTGCAAGAGGAGCGAGGGATTTCACCGCCGCTTGTGGCTTTAATTTACTGTATTTTTTATTGGAGTTTAAAGATAAACAGTATACAAAAGTATAATACATATATTTATATCATTTATATATTTTACATTTATAGTATATATGTAAAATAATACATTATTGTACATGATTATGAACAAAGTAAAATCCTACTGTTTGATTACATTAATTGACAAAGTTCTACAGCAGCATACTATCGTTTACATCACTATGTTTGTGCTTTGTTCATAGAAACTGTGCGGACAGTGGAGATGAGTGGGAACCACCGGCAAAGGTCACAGCTCGACCTGCCCCATTCACACCCGGACCTCCCCTCGTTGAGAACACTCCTACAGTCAGTAGAGGGAGGGGGAGAACAAGGAGCAGAGGTGCTACACGGACCACTGTTCCTCCAACTCTGCCTAATGGAAGTTCAGAACGCTGGAAAAATTTTGACGAACGGGACAGTGTGTCCAGACAATTCCCTTTCCGACCCGCGAGAGAACCTGGACCTCAGCCTAGGAGCAGACGACATGCTACTCTCTTGGATTTCTTCAAGCTGCTCTTTACAGACACTATTCTAGCTTCACTGCTGGAGAATATGAACGCGTTTGGCTCCCACCAAAATGAAAACTGGGCCGCAGTTACCATGACAGACTTCTATTCCTTTTTGGCGGTGGTCCTTCATATGGGAATTGTCAAGCTTCCTGAAATGGGTTCTTATTGGAGGCAGCATCGTTTGTACAACCTGCCGTTTCCTTCCGCTGCAATGTCCAGGAACAAGTTCATGCGAATGTGCCGCTCTTTGCATCTGTGTTCGATGGAGGACGATGCTCGAAACCAGGCGCTGAGAGGAACTCCACACTACGACCGTTTGGCTAAAGTAAGACCTCTGTACGAACAGATCGTCACAGCCTGCAGAGATAACTATCACCCCAACCTCAACATCTCCATTGGTGAAAGAATGGTGGCCTCAAAAGCCAGAATTGCACTAAAGCAGTACATTAAAAACAAGCCAACCAGGTGGGCATATAAACTGTTTGTACTCGCTGACTCGGACACTGGTTACAAATGGAACTTTTTTGTGCATGAGGGAAAAGCTTCGAACTCTGGGAATGGACTGAGTTATGATTCTGTGATGTCTCTGTTGAACATAGATCAACTGGGCTCAGGGTACCACCTGTATGTGGACGACTTCTACACAAGCCCTCATCTGTTCAGAGACTTGTTTGCACGACAGATCGGGGCGTGTGGTGCCATTAGAACAAATCGCATTGGATTTCCCAGAACCACCCGTAATGATCTGAGCAGAGGTGATCCTCGAGGCAGCGTCCGTTGGATCCGGGAGAATGAGCTGCTGTTTGTGAAGTGGAAGGACACGCAAGAGGAGGCGTTCTGTTCGACACTACACACGGTGTTCAGTGGAGACACCGCGTTCCGCCGCCAAAGACAAGAGGGAACATGGTCTCTGCTCAACATGCCCATCCCAGCCGCAGTCAAAGACTACCACAGCCATGTGGGAGGCGTCGACCAGTCGGACGCACTCATTGGCTGTTACACTGTGCTGCACGGAACAAGGAAGTGGTACCGCACACTGTTCTTCCATTTCCTGGACATCGCAGTCGTGAATGCCTCCATCCTGTACAACGCCGCTTACCCAGACAGGAAACTCAGCCAGTTACATTTTCGAGAGGAACTTATTTCTCAGCTGCATCAGCGCGGTAGTCTTTCAACCTCAACAAACCGTCCTCAGACTCAGAGCGCCACGACCACACACATCCCTGTGTTCTTCAGTGAAGGGAAGGACATCAACAAAGCGAATGCCGCCTCGATCGGCAGACGACACTGTAAACTTTGCCACATGAGGACGCCGCTGGGATGTGAGACGTGTAACGTTCCTCTGTGCGTTCAACCAACCAGGAACTGCTACCAACAGTGGCACCAGGACCAAGGACTGCTCTGACAGTTGCACAAAGACAAGCTCTTTCTTTTGGATAACTTACGCTTAGCATCTAATTTCTGCTCTAAAGTTTGAGGCCATGTTTGAGTATTTTTGTACTAAAGTTTGAGCCAAAGAGTTTTTGTACACGTTGTTTTTACTAGTGTTTGTTTTACATATTTATATAAAATGTTTATTTAAAAAAAATAGTAGTTATTTAATTTCTTGTATACCAATTGAAACATTTAAACTCTACCACACCTAACACTTCACATACTTGTGTTTATGTAGATCTATATGATGAAGATAGATAGATCCACATAAACTCGAAGGCTATAGCTTTAAAAAGATGCAATGACACAAATTAACGTTTGTAAATGAAAACTAAAGTGGTATAAACCCTTGGGTCAAAATGACCCACAGTGTTTAACAGTTGAAGAAAAATCACAATACATCAAAAGAATGTATTCAGGGTTGATTTGAGATGAGGAGAGCATAAGATGAAATCATACCCAATAGAGATTTAAAAATACCCTAAAAAAATGTTTTTATCTGAATCTTGATTTTTTTTGTTTTTCCTAACTTGAACCTGGGTCATTTAGAGCCTGAGGCTCTGAAAGGGTCTTTACTCACACACTAAAACAAGGGTAACGAGGAGGAGGAGTAATAGAAGTGATAATGGTAAAGTAAAAGCAGTACCTGTAACAATTAGATCTCACTTTGGTCTGAGAAAGTAGCTCCGGGTGAAAAAGGTTGGAGAGCTCTGCTTTAATATGGTACTTGTTTTTACAAATGTAAACTCAGACTCAGCCTGTGTTAAAACAAAGTCTACACACTGCAATGAAGGGTGGTCTGCAGATAAAGCTTGAGGTGCTCACCAACTATGCTGAGCTGATGAGTGTTAAAGTACCCCCGTGGGATTTATCCTTCACCCCAAGGCACTATATCTTGGGGCAAGTCCTGATGGCAGGGTGTATGGCCCATCAGAATCACCCCCATTTGTACTGGTAGAGGTTAAAAGTTGCACAAAATATGATGTGTCCCGGTGGCTCACCTTAATGTTCAGGATGGCGCTGCGCAAGTCTGAGGCATTCACATGCGTACTACTGCCAAGTACAGGGTCAGCTGGCAGTCACAGGGTTGGAATGGTGGACACACTGACAACAATAACAGTTGAGCGAGTGTGGTGGGATGAATCTTTCATTGACCAGATGAAAGATTGTTTGTGTCAATGCAGTACAATAAATTATAATCTAATGCAATAATTTAGCATTTTACATTTTCAAACTGTGTATCATTGTAAATATTTAAGAGATCCTTTATTCGTCCCACAGCGAAGACATTTCAGTGTTGCAAGTTATTGAACAGTAGGAAAGGAGAGCACACGGCACATAGCTATACTAATTAAAACAAAACAAAATCTCTAACTCTAGCATCAATAACAATCTTGAAAATAATAAAAAGAGGTGTAAAAGTTTTACATTTGGCAAAATAAGAGGCAAGTATAAAGTACTGTGTATTCTAGTGCAAGCAAAGTGTCATTATATGTTAGCAGCAGTATGTTTACATCTGTGCTTAAGCAGCATTATATTTACATCTGTGCATTAGTAGCATGAGGCTCTGAGACACAGGGACTCAGTAAAGTAACAGTGACATGTGGTTATTGCACATTCTGATATAAATTAAGGATATTGCAGCGATGCATGACACGTGCCAACATCAAGTTGGCAGTGTTCATTAGTCCTTATTGTTTGTTGTACAGTCTGACAGCAGCAGGAAGGAAAGGCATCGAGGATGAATAGTCTGTCAATGAAGCTGCTCTCCAGGTCAAAAATTGAATATATGCATTTCAAAACAAAAAATTAAATTGTCCTAGTCTTAATGACCTGTGCCTGCAGCTGAAAGGAAGTTGATGAGGTGTAAGTTGTTTTCCAAAACTACACAAATTATTATTTCAAGTCCTGTATGATTTTGTAAAAATCTATCATGTTCATCATTCGCAACATCACTTGGTATCCGTTTCACCTGTTTACCCTTGCAATTCTACACAATCAAGCTACAATAACAAACAAAAATTACTGAATTCTGAAGTTTGTTTAAGATGGGGAATAAACATCTCAACAACAGTTGTACCAGATCTGATTGACGGTTCTTAAAGTGAGTGGCACAAGAGAATCCCAGATGTGGTAATACTTGATTCTGGCTATTGCCTCCATCCATCCATCCATTTTCTACCCTTTAATCCATTTCTGGGTCAGGGGGGTGACAGTCAGAGATGCTACCCAAGTCTCATAGCACCAGCCCCTCACTGACCCTCTGCAGGTGGTGAGTCCACAGGAGGACGGCTGCTCTCTGAGTGTGATATTGGTGGTATTTATGATGTCCCTGGTAATGTGTTTTGAAAGGATGGAGTTTTGGCAGGATTTTCCAGCAAGTTTTTAGGAGTGAGCATATTGCATATGTACTTGCCTGTTCAACAATAATTCTCAGATGAGCAATGGCTTCAGTCTCTCTCTTGCTAAACTGACCAACTTCATCAAGGAGGTCTTGAATGAGGAAGCCCTTATCTGCCATGAATTGCAGCCGTAGGATTCCACTGATTTTAGTGGTCTCTTTGTCGAAGATTCAGCCAGAGTAGAGCTGTGGGGAAAATAACTAGGATCAACTTGAACTATTTCCGTCTAATAAGATCAAAACTCTCATTCAATGATCTTGTCTACTTTTTTCATATAGCAACTTGTTTTTCAGCCATCACGCCATCTTTCCTGCCACTGTTCTTACATTTACCTACTATACTGATATTGATCAGCATACTTCCCTAAAGATTTTCTACTCGCTTACTTCCATAATTTATTTATTCGATCAGGACCCTAGTAATTTCTCTCTTTCATGGTCCAAGGAGGAACCACAGAAAGTGGTACTGTCGGGCTGATACTTTATTAAAATGTCTGCTTCATTCTCACAATTCTATCCAAAGCTATTCCCTTGTGTTTTAACCTTGTCCTGACAGGGATTTTGAACCCCCAAAACTTGCATGATTCTTGCTGTACTTGCTTCCTTTTACAATACAACGACATCTCTCCCATCCCCATCTGTGAGTCCGCCACTAGAGTTCACCTCATTGCCCCACTTCATATCCTTTAGGCCTGACCTCTGAACAACATATTTTAGGATTACATTAAAAGGCTGAGTTGAACGCCACACTTCAAATTGCCAACTTCCTCTTATAATCCAAATACTCATCAGTTTTTTTCTGCCCACAATCTTTTTCCTCCTACCCTCCTTTTTCCTGCTGCTGTCTACTTGGCTGCACATGATATTGCATGACATATTTATTACCTTTATTTACCTTCTCAGTTGATTTTCTCACAAATTGATTTGAACTTTCCCCAGTCCACTTTAACTCTTTCTACACTAGATCTCCTACAGTCTATGTCTCCTTCTCGAACAAAGTTAACTTATATTGATTCAACAATATAAATTAAGCTTTATTGCTTTACTATAAGTGTACAGTACAAATTTGCATTGCAATAATACAAACCATCTGAGTGCAAATATGGAGTACGAACAAAATACATCCAGACGAAATGTCACAACTCAGATACTTCAGTCTAATGTATTCACATAATGATGAGTCTGAAACAGACTGCAGTCAAATTGCAGAAGTGTGAATGATCTCTCTCCTGTCTCTGATTCTATAAAATTATCAAAATCTCAATCTGAAGCTGCTTTGTGTATATATCCATAACAGTCTTAAATTATCATTATTAGTAACCTCTTATGATTCTGACCCATTTTCTCTAAAGAGTCTGAAAGAAAAAGACAATTCATTTGTTTCAGGACAGATAGAAGTACAAATGGCTGGACCCTTTGTGAAGCTGAAGTCCTGTGCTGACTCATATTCTCATTTATATAATTATAAAAGAGAACAATTTACAATGAGAAATATCAATCAAAAGTCTGCCCACATTTTCTTTGATAAATATAAAATAGGGTAGCTGGTGAGTGGGGTTTGGGTCTAATAAACTAAAGAATGGCACACTGTTGTTTGTTAACGCCTAATTTTCTTTTCACAGTGTAGGTATTAAATTCAATTTAGTTAGTTTAAATGAATGCACTTGTAATAAAGACAAATAGATAACCTACAAAATCCATATTCACTTTTTTAGCAAATGTTTGGACGAGACTTCATTTAAGTTTGGAGTTCATATTGATTCTTATTCTTGTTTGATTTGAAAAGAAAGAAGAGAGATACATATCTAATATAATCTTTCACTTCTTTCAGTTACTCAAGTAACTGGGAAAAATAGTTATTTCTTTTTGTTCTCTTCATATTGCCACTTTTCAGCATATCTGTCTTTTATTGCTGATTTAGTTCCATCATGTCTTCTTTTGTTGGCATGAAGTGCTGCTCATAGCCGGCAGAGTCTTCTTCTGAGCTTGAAGAACAAGTATCAGTGTCTTCCTCATTTTTTTCTTTGTCAGAGTCTATCATTTTACTGTACTCCTGTTTCCTACATCCACATGATGTCTTATGTTCCTTTTCCTCTGGTTCCTCCACTTCGTCGGCCCAATCACATGGATCATGATCCAGTTTGGAGTTGAAAACACAACTGTTCACAACTTCAATTGTTGACATTTTGGGATGTTGTTCTACATGTTCTTTGGGAATACAGAACCCGTGTATCTATTGTTGACAAAACAAAGTTAAAATGTATTCCGATCAAATGTGATGAATTCAATCTTACCTGGTTCCCAATTTCCTTGAGGATGTTACTATTGTGAGGATCAGGTACTTTCTCAAACAAACAGGAAAGTGCAGCTGGATAGGTTTTCCTTTTTCTTCAAAACGGAGACAAATGAAAAAAAAATACATGAAATATATGATTATATATATATATATATATATATAATATATATATAATACACCTTATATATTTTGTATATAAGGTGTATATAACAATTCAAACAAGTGACTGAAAAATACTCACGCCAAAACAAGCAGAGAAACTAGCAGCAATAATACAACTGCTCCAAACAATGTAAGAAAGAGACATATGAAGCGTCCTAAAAACAAAAACAGTTTAATTCAACAATTGATGCAGTGTGAGCATGGACTTTGAAAACCTTATTCCTTCACACCTATGTTGTCAGTGGACAGTGTTTTGAACTGCACTGTAGTATTGGGTCCAGGGCCAGCTTGATTCACCGCTTTTATCCACACTTCATAGTCATGATCTTCAGCAAGATTAGTCAGCACATATGTCCTGTTTTCCATTTGCGGGTATCCGCTTACATTGTACACTATAAAAACATTAATGTATATGTTAAACTGTTTTATTTAGTAAAAGATGATCCAATTATCATACAGACCATTATTGCCAAATCCAATTTGATAATATGGAATCACACCATTGTGCACTGACATCAAGACTGTCTTCCAGGATAATGTCACATTTGTGGTTCCGTATGAATCCACTTTAAATAAAGGTACTCTTGTAGGTTCTGAAAAAATAACAACATAATTTGTGTGTGTGTGTGTGTGTGTGTGTGTGTGTGTGTGTGCAGAAACGTACTTCCTTGGACATAGTGTGTAACATCTGTGCAATACAAGCGTGTGGTGTGATTGGCCACAGTGAACATGGACACCTGATAGGCTGTGTACTTTTTGAACTTCCCTACAGAGACACACACAAAACATCAAAAGCATGGACCCTTCTGTAACGTAAAACATGTATGAAATAAAAACAAACCTTTGATTGTAATTGTCTTCGTACTTATGTCAATTCTCACCCAATCCAATCCTCGACCCAATGGAGTTCCAGCTTCTTTGTACTGCACAACAAACTCCTTCATATTGTCAGTACTCCATGTTCTACTCCAGGAGATCGTAATATTGTTTTCCCTCATCTTCAGATCAAGGACCTTATGGGCAGCTATTGCTACTATATAAGGGTATTCAATTCATTAGAAGCCCATTTATCTATATCTATCTGTATCCATATATCTTTTGACAAATAAAGAGTTAATACCTGAGGTTTGTAAGATAAGATGAGAAGGTTCTGTCTCTCCAAGTGCATTGTATGCACACATAACGACAGATTTAACATCCATCAGTGAGGAGTTGTGGAAACATTGGACAGCATTGCAGATCAGAGACTTTGATTTTGCAACAGGTTCATTCAAATCCATGATACTTCCATCGTTATAATACAAAGTAATTTTATATCCCAGAATGTGTCCACGGGCTTCAAACATGGGAAGTTTCTACAGAATATCATAAAACAATATATTTACAAATACATGGAGAAAAATGCAACTGCTATTATCACTTATGATTCTACCTTCCAGACCAGAACACAGTCTGTGACTTTATCTAACTTCTTACAGTCTTTCCAAATATCAAGCTTTCCAATAGGGACTAAAAGGAGAAGAAACCAATTAATACATAAACACATCAAGAGTAACTTCAATGCATTATGCAAGATAACTCACCTCTCTCTGCACTCCTGATCACAAGGGCCTCACTCCAGTCACTCATCAAGTATGCGCCACATTTGCAACGAATCTGAAATGAATAGTTTCTGCTGGGCTCTGCGTTGTTGAGCATATAGCTGCCGGACACACCGCCCTCGTCTTGCTGAAATAATAAGGCATTATAGGTATCAATTTACAAGCAATTATCTGCAACTACGCCTGCATGTTTTGGGATTTTTTGCAATGTGTCACGATGAAACAAGAAAAAAGATAAAACTCCCCGGGTAAGACAGTGATCCTGCTCACATACAAAAGTCTCTTGTCCCATTCCAGAGAGGACTGGTGGTAAGAATCAGCCCATAACTCTTTGTTATAACTTACTGACTAACTAACAAAACCAGGAAAAAAAAATAATAATTTGAGTAGTTCATGATCTGACAAATAGTTGACTACTGAAATTGCTGTAATTTTCAATCCCACTAGTAACTTAAACTTACAAAAACAATTCTGTATTATCTAAAATCAAATCAAATCCCACCTGAACCCAAGCCTTCTCGATCTCAGTGCGATAACGAACTTCACACTGTTCTTCTCCGAGATTTTCACACAAAGACCTCCATTGGATTTCTATGGGGTCTTGACTACTTGATACTATCTTTGGTCGAGGAGACTTGTCTATGAATACATAAATAAAGCATTATTTATTAGAACATAATTCAAATAAAATTGCAAATCAATTAATGAAAAACAACACAAACCATTTACACAAGAATAACAAGAAAATATACCTGTGTTTCAATATTAGGTAAGAATGCAATTACAATGATGCTATTGCCACTTTTTACTGTACATAATATATCCTGCACATACTATATTTTTTAACTTTTAACATGTTGCATACTTCTGTCTTTTTGCACAACCTGAGTGACACTATGCCAAATGTGACATGTCAATTTCTCCAATGTGAGATCAATAAAGTTTATCTTATCTTAGATGCAGCCATGTGTTCCCTGTAGTGTTGTATTATTGGAAATGTAAACAGGGATGAGGGTTGGTAGGTGTCAGAATCGTTTACTCTCTAGTGAGATCATAACTGTGCAATGATGACATGCATCAAAATAAACAAACAAAAATCACAACAACTTACAGAGGTTTTCTGTATAAAAGATAACCATTTCTGATTTGGAGACAGTCCCATCTCGATTCTGAGTCTGAACCCAAACTTGAAGTTTGCTGGGGCTAGTAAAGTCATTACGCTGAATTATGGCTGTGTGACCTGTTGCGGTGCTGTTATAGTTTGCCCTGCATAAGAAGAACCCAAAGATGAAATGTGACAAATAAACATGAATATCTGAGGTAATTCAGATTTGTAAAACATATACTTAAATATACACTCCGTGATTTACCAGTGCAGAGTCTGAATTAAGCTATTATCAGGGTCAGACACAGTCCATGTGCAGATTATGTCAACATCACAGGCACTGCCATCACAGGGAATGTGGCATTCTGGAGGAGAGGGAATTACAGGAGAGCCTGAGGGTAAAACAAGTGGTTATTCTACGTGTTATTTGAGTTGCAGAACATGACAGTTCATGTCTTATGTTAACAGCTTTCTCAGAGACTTCCGACCAGGTACAAGAGTTTAGCACTTTGAGCAATGCAAAAGAAAAACAGGAAATGAACGAGCACGAAGCTTCTTTTGACATGACTTCCTTTAACATGGTAGATATAATTCACTTATTTTGCTGAATACGTACCTTTAATATAAAAAGTGCTGCCGATCACTATAAAGGACAGAATCCATACAGCTCTGAATGTGGCCATTACATTGTAACGAACCATGAATCACCCAGAATCTACTGAAACACAGAACCATGTTACAATTAGGCTACTACTGCATTAGTGATGTCTGCATCTAAATAAAACTGCGTGCGCTTTATTGTGCAGTGATAATACAGAGGTGGTTATCAGGACCATAGCTTGTCTTAACTCTTTCTATAACCGCACAGTCGACCAGCGTCTTTTCCGATTAACGAAGTAACGAAGTAACGAAGGAATCAGAGCCCGTCACGTGTTATTGTAGTAACATTTAGCTCACGTACCCGACCGCCGTGGGGTTGGATTCTCCGGCGAGCTTCATTAAGTTACATAGAAACTTTTATCCGGACGCTGAGTACAGTGAAATGCTTGCGGTTCCTAGAAGGTGATTGGCTATGCCCATTACGGGAAACGCAGAAAGCGCATGCGCAATCATGTGCAATCCTCATGTGTTGATTTTAAGTCATTATTGGCCTCTTGTGGATCAATTAATAACATTCAAGGCACCATTTCATTTATTAGTCTTTCACCAGGTTTGCTTGATGGGCTAATGTTAAGATTAGGAGATTCTTTATACGTCCCACAGAGGGATGGTAAGTATACATGCTTTTGGATTGGGCCTACGAGAGCTGTTCATTTTCTTTACACAGAAATGATCCAAGCCATTTTCCTCATTACCGATGCAAAGCTTAGATATAACCTATTACAGACAACTTTATGGATAATCAGAATTGTCAAGTATAAGTATTGGGAGTCATTTTCTTACATTTATACACATGATACATTTATAAGTATACAAACATAACAAATCTAAACATTTGATGGTGCCGGATCAAAGAAATTGTGTTATGACACAATGCATTGCAAAGGTTATTATGAATGAAGAGAATATATTTTTTATTTTTTCTTTAATTGAACTGATAACAACACACGATCCAAAATTCAATGATGTAAAAAGTTGTTGTTTTCCTCCACTTGTGTTGAGTGCAGTTCAACAGAGAGAGCCGATTTCACTCTTGCTACAGCCCCATTTGCAGCAGGCAGTGGACAGTCCCAGCACCAGGTCTCGTCCCTTGCGGTCAGCTTTGCGCAGAGCTTCGAGAATTTCCTCTGAGATGAAAGAGCGGGTCTGTCTGCTAAACTCTGAGTTCATACTCTCTGCGGAGGTGAAGGTTGAATCTTTGTTCCTATGGAGGATGGTTTCAATTACTGGCTTTTGTCCAAAACTCTCTTCTGGGTCATTCTGGTTAAAAGGATCTAAAAACAAAACAAAAAGCAATGTAATTAATTACAAAAAAGTATTAAAAATACAGTTGATCCGAATAATTGGTCATCATTTGCAAACTAAAATATGTAAATGCCCTGCAAGACTAAACTGCACATGGCTTTGTGTTGTGTGAATTAGGCCTTTTGTTTTAGTTGAACAATCATTTTAATTGTATCACAAATCAGCAATAATAAAAGTAACTATTTAAAAGTCTTACCTATCGCCTGTGACCTTTTCCAACGGGAACCTCCACAAGTGAAAATGACTGAGCGGATAAACTCCCGTCCACAGAGTTTGACGCCATAAGGGTTCTCCATTGGCTGAGCATCTGCCACCAGCAAACACACTGCAAGTACGACTGGTTTCCACATAGTGATGTGAAGAACAAGTGCTCTGAACCTGCCTTTGTAAGAGAGCTTATAAAGGGGTTTGGAGCCCAGTACTGCGTGTAGGCCAACGAGTAATCACTGAATTGAAATAGATATAATCAAAGACCTTTGCAATAAAAAGAACAAGACCAAAGGTGGAATAAATAGACCATTGTTTAAAAGGACAAAGACCCAATATTGTACGATGCAATGCCCTCTCTTAAATTTACTTGACTGTGATGCATAACAAAGGAACAAGGTGGAGCCTCATTAACATATGTCCGCAAATGTCAATTGGTAAAAGCACTACATCAAATACATTTTACAACAGTACATTATCCTATGCTATAATATGAAGAAAAATATTGTTTTAGTTATACAACATAAATGTTCTTCAGTAAAAATTCTAAAGTGAAGTTATGAGCAAGTGACATTTTCCATTGTCAGATAACATTCTGTCATCATTCTTATTATGTTGTGGAAAAGGCAAAACTCTCTTTTATCAGAAACTAGTCAAAGGTCACTCAATTAATATTCGCAATGAATTGTAATTATGTGATGAAACCATAGACTGTAAATATTAATGAAACATGCAAACATAGTAGCATCAAAGCCTTTACGGGTGTCAAAATGGGTTGGTTAATTCAGAAACACAGTGAATATTTAACGGTCTCTGATTCATTGGTGATTTCCTTTTTGTTGTTATTGTGTGGACTCGGCATGTTTTTAAACTTTATATTATTACGGCTTTGAATGTAAAGCAGGAAGTTGATCTCAAAGATGCTCAAAGTAAGCCAACCAAGCACCAGCCGCCCCGGAGCAGACTGACGGACGGAAGGTTATTACCTTGACAAACTAACATCTTTGCTGGAGTAATACCCAAAAAACTAAGAGGTAACTTCCTAAATCCTCCTAAACACTTTTAGATAAATTAATAACCCCACAAACCCACTGACAAAGCAGACTGCACTGTTCGCTTTTTACCAGGCAATATACCATCATCCTAATTTGATTTATTGTTTATGGTTTATGTATAACATAATTATACATATCAGTTCCCTGGGCTGCTTTGAAATAATAATAATTTAATAATTTACAATAAGGATATAATAGTAACTAATAAATATGTTTTTAATATTAAAATAAAAATATAATAAAATATTACTATTAATAATATCTCCACATTTCTGGTGGAAATGTGCTAGGACTTTACTATAATATCATATTTACATAAATATCATATTGTGACCTGTCCTGCTCCACCCAGCGGCTACTCCACATCTGCTGCTGTGACCTGTCCTGTTACACCCAGCGGCTACTCCACATCTGCTGCTGTGACCTGTCCTGCTCCACCCAGAGGCTACTCCACCTCTGCTGCTGTGACCTGAAGGGCTGTTGCTGATTATTACTAATGTTATCTTTTTTAGAATTATCAATTTTATTTTCTATTTTTGCTGCTACAAGGCAACTGAATTTCTCCTACGGGGATCAATAAAGTATCTACATATCTATCTAAATGCCCTACTCATCAAAGTATTGTTAATACATTATTCTATCACATAAGTTACAAACATGTTGAATGAATAGACAAAGACTCAATTGTTCAATAATTAATGGGTGTGATATTATAATGATTCCTTGTGATGCAAAAGATGCTTCATGACTGTGCCTTTAAGGACATTTGTCAGGAGACAGCCAATCAGAAAAGCCGAGGAGGAGGGAAGAGAGCCGGTGGGTAGCAACAGTTACCCTGGTGAGAACGAAACGCCATAGCCACGGTAGCCCTGGCGACAAGAACCCAGCAACGAGAATCAACAACAACAACTAAATCCGCCATAAATATAATAGAAGATTTTTAACCTGTGGGAAACACACACGTGGATCCAGAGGTGAAGCTCTTAACGTATTGCCAATGTTTGCATTAATCAAAGGTGGAATAGAATTGTGCTGTTGCTTTTTCCCCTCTTGTTACTGTAGCCATAACGGCCAACTGTCGTGTTAGCTCAGGTTAGCGTAGCGAGCTAGCCGCATCACTGGTCTCATTTGTGGTCTTGTTGAAGGCTGTGGGCTTGTTTGTACATGCGACTTTGTCAATGCGCTCAGAATGCGACTACCATGACGACGCAGCCATAGACGCATACTCAAGCAGGCTGTTGTTATGGCGATGTCAAATGCAAAAGGTACAAAATGGCGGTTGTTGTAGAGACCAGTTAGCTTGTTGCCCATGTTACCTATGTTACCATGCTAGACATTTATCTCCAATTCTGTCACGACTTGGTGAATGTAATCCATTATTATGTCTTCATTATTACGTTTCTAAAAATGTTTTTATGTAACTAACTATTGTACATCTATCTACATCTTGGGATATAGATCGGCAGCATAGACCCATAGTCGCTGTCCAGTCAGTATCCAATCGCAGTGCAGAAGTTAGTATGTAGTTTACTATGACATGTTGGGCAGTTGACCATAATAACCACAGCGGTACATTAACGTTAGATATTTTACATGGGGCGTGGTAAAGAGGAGCACATTGTCAAACAGCCTGCAGCAACGATAGAAATGTCTTGTACAATCCTGGTTGAAGTCCTACAGAAATGAAGATACGGATTATTTCCTTCATTATCATAAAGATGTATAGTGAATTATGATCCTATGCTTTTTAGGAGGATTGGCCATATCCCCAGAAATCTTGCGGTTGAAGTGTCTTTCACTAACCCATCTCCTTTATTTTAATATTACATATAATGCATACAAGATAATATTATTAATACAATAACAACAACAGTAATATAGTAACTATACGACCAATGCTAAGAAATGTTCCTGATGAATAAATCAGGACAAATTCTGAGAGGAAATCAATCTATGTTCTGAAGTTTGTTTTTAATTATTGACGCCATGTAATTATAATAATAATACATTACACATATATAGTGCTTTATTTGAATACTCAAAGATAAAAAATACAATAATATGGAAAGACAAGGCACCTCACAACACCTGTAATCATTTGTATTATTATTATTATCTAAACATTGTGTGGTGGTGTGGCTTTAAGTACATATCTCATCTTCAGTTCTGCAAAATAGAAGTTTCAAAGGGATTTATTTCTTTGTTTATCCCTAGTTGATCACTAAGATGCAATGTTTTCAACCACATTGTTGTTGACATATACGAGGACAAGAGCAAAACCTAAAATTTGCATTTTTGAAAAAAAAAACCCAAAAAAACCTTTACAATCAGGTTTTACTCAATATTTAGTTTGAAAAGCAATGATTTTTGAGCATTTTTGTTGTTTTGTTTTTCTAGGGTATACCCCACATCTTGTAATGGCCACTACAGGCTATGTAGGAGAAATTCAGTCCACAGCCCAACCCCAGGGGGCTAGTGTTTCAGTGACACCTGGGCAATCTGATGTCAGCTCCACCCCTGCATCTACACCCCAGTTCCTGACAGAGATTCAGACATCTGTGCCAACTCCCAGTGTCGTGACTTCTACAGGACAAACAGCTCCCACTGAACAAGCCACTATCATCTGCACACAGAAGCCAGCGGCTGGGAGTCAGGCTGCATCCACAACTCAGGGTCAGCCTCCTTCAACTCAGTATGTTACTGCGGAAATCCAGGGCTCTCCCACACAATCTGGAAATTCTCAGAGCACACCGCAATATATTGTTGTTACTGTCACAGGTAAGAATATAAACAGATCTGTTTGTAAAGTAATTAATGTACTTCTAAGAGATGGCCTGTTTTAACTTGCTAATTAACGTTTGTAGAAGTGCCAAGACATTTATATGACATATTCAGTTTCTTGCCTACCTACTACTGCTACTTACTACTGCTAATCTACAACTACTGTCATCACAATATTACTGATATTTCTGTATTTTGACACATCCACATCACACAAATAATCATTGCACTTTAACACCTATTGGTGTTTCAGTAATAAAAAATGCATACATACAAAATACAGATTGTATATATGTTTTTTTTTACCCCAACACATAGTAAGTAATTTATCTTTATTTATATAGCACATCTCACAGACCAAGGTCACGCTAAGTGCTTTACAATTTTTTGTGGAACACACACAGTGAAGACCAAAGCAAGATGCCAAACACCAGGCTTCAACCATCACCATCCATTCACTCACTCATCAAACTCCTCATACCTATTGTATATGCACAAGCACATATAATGATGGGAATCTATTCTGTTAATATATGTATCTATTCATCAGAAGGTTCTCTGCACTCGAATGACAGTGTGTCAGACTCAAGTCCCCCTCCAGCTGTTGTACAGACTGGTGTTCCTACACAAGTAGTCCAGCAGGTGCAGACGGCTCAACAGGTGAGTTAAAAATATGTTTGTACACATTTAACACATTTAACACATCTTGCATCATTTTTAATCGATTCATAAAAATGTTGCTTTCTCACAGCGGTCAGTTTTACAGGCAACATCTCAGATTGCCAAGACTGAGCCAGGCACTCAAATCAGTGTCACAAATTTACAGCCTGTTCACATCAGTCCAGAGGTAGGAGGACTGCTTTTATAATATATTTTCATAAAATCGTTGTTTTATACTATACATCTTTTTGCATATATATTATGTATTTATCTCAACTCATTATATGAAGACATCATATTATTTCTTTTGATTTTTCAGTTACCACCTTTTAGCTCCACGAACACAGTTTTAGTCAAAGACAGGTGCATAGAAGAATGGAAGCTGCATGAGATAGGACAGCAAGAATGCCAGGGCCTGACATTCAATGATGACACAAGAGACTACTATGGCAGAACCTTCTACATACCAGACTATTGGCAGTTTCAGTCAGAGAAAGGGCTAGAAGTCCAACCTGCAGGTGACTGGTCAGGTCACAATCTGTCTCCATCGCAGCCTTTGAATTTCCAAGTAGGTCAGGGGCAGAAGGGAGATTGTGTTATCCAAGTAACAAAAACAGACATTTACTGTATATGAAAGAGATAAATGTAATGTGTGTGTCCAAGTATACAAAGGTACAGTACATTAAAATCATCATGTTTTTGTGTGTTTGTAAATTCCTCTTTAGGTCCAGCAGCTCACCACAGTGCCAGTTCAACATGTATATACCAATCAAGTGCAGTACGTGGAGGGAGCTGAGACCAACTACACAACCAGTACAATGTTAGAACTATGCCCTGTGAAAAAAACTTAATTTGCCACAGATGAGGTTTCAATACATTTTATCTTTTTTTATAGCCGTTCCAGCAGCTTTCCATACACTGAAACCTCCTTATACACACAGACCACTGCTGGCCAGTACTATGAGGGTCAGCCAACCTCCGGCACACAGGCCTCTACGCCTGGAACTCCCCTTACAGTTTCTGTGACTGCAGGCACCACAGGCGGCGTGTCCATGTTTGTAGCGCAGCCGCCTAGTGCTGCAGCCACTGCTGCCACTGTAGTGTCCACTGCCACCAATGGGGCAGGGGATGTGGCAGGCAGCAATGGGGTGTCCACAGGCAGCTATGTGATCCAGGGGGGTTACATGCTGGGCAGCGGTAGCAACAGCAGTAGCAGTGCAGCAGGCAGTAATCAGACTTACTCTCACACTGCCCGCGCCTCCCCAGCCACTGTGAGTATTACAGAGGGCGAGGAGGGTAGCGTGCCGTCGGCAGACAAGAAGGTATGCAGAGGCGCTAAGCGCAGCAATTTCTCCTTGTTATGTTCCCATTCACTCAATACTGAGGTGGGTGTCATTGTTCTGTTTTGTCCAGTGGAAAACACAATTTACAATGAAACTTGTAAAATAAAAAAGTATGGTTAAAACCATTATATACAGTGACACCATCCTTAATTGTAATTTCCTCTTTAACAAAACCAAACTATGACATCATCATTTCATAAATCCATGATACTGCATGTTGAAATGGTTGTTTTGATTTGCCTGAAATGTTCCAGCACTTATTTTCTTCCCAAATTCACCATTAGTAATTTCCATTTCAACATGTTTACATGTTTGGCAGTTACTCCATCAAGTCATTCATTGCATACCAGAGTTGTATGCCGCGGCACGGAAAAAGATAATGCATAAACACTGTCAATGGATGTGCATGTTATTTTTATTTCAGCATGCAATGTATACAAATGTATATTTTGGGCCATGCTAACTTTACTAGCCTCTTTCTTCTTTTCTTGCCTGCTTGTCAGGTACAGTGGTTGCTGGACAACTATGAGACAGCTGAAGGTGTTAGTCTACCACGCTCCACTCTCTACTGCCACTATCTGCTACACTGCCAGGAGCAAAAACTTGAGCCTGTAAATGCTGCGTCTTTTGGCAAACTAATACGCTCTGTGTTTATGGGCTTACGGACACGACGTCTCGGCACACGGTAAGAGAAGAATCAAAATCTAGATTAATATATATATCATTTAAGAGAGCACTGGAGTTTTTTATGAACTTGCCTGGGATATGGGCTAATAAAGTATTATAACTTTTCACTGGGGGTGGGTCACGGGTGGTAGTGCATGTCTAAATGAAATTTCTCATCAATAGAAGGTTCTAAAGTTATTTTCTGTAACATTGTGTTCATGTGAATATGGTTAAATCGAGATGTATGCTTTGCATATCAACTGTGATATCGATGTATATGGTTTTTTAAGGGGTAACTCGAAGTACCACTATTATGGGTTGAGGATCAAAGCTGGTTCTTCTCTTCTGCGTTTAATGGAGGATCAGCAGCATCTGGCCATGAGGCAACAACCTTTTTCACAGAAACAGAGGTAAAAAAAAGTACATCCCCTTTGGAAAAGACATACTTTAAATAGTGATGAACACTGAAAGACTTATTATGTTCTATGATAGGTTGAAGCCAGTACACAAAGTAGAGGGAATGACTAACGGCACTGCAGCAGGAGCTTCTCAGCAGCAGCAACAGCAGCAGCAGGGCTCAGCTCATGTGGACATAAGCACCCAGGTTCAGCAGTACCAACAATTTTTAGGTGCTTTTTCCCCTGAATTGAGCCATGCATCACTACTATCAGTGACTATCTAACGACCTAACTAAAGTTCGACTTTCTTTTTGTTTGCAGATGCATCAAGAGCTCTCCCTGAGTTTCCTGACATTGACCTCATTGGAAAGGCTCTGCCAGAGGGCATCGACATTGAGCACATTAAGAGTTTTCAGCTGCTTTATAGAGAACACTGTGAGGTAAAATGCTTGTTGTTGAGTTTATTTTATCTTTCCCTGATGGATAATTAATTACTAAGCATTTATGAAAAAATAAAACATGAATAAAGCATGATTACCCCTATTCTCTTTTTACTCATTGTTTAGGCTATACTGGATGTGATGGTAAACCTTCAGTTCACTCTCGTAGAGACTCTATGGAAAACCTTCTGGAGATTTAGCCAGGATGCGTCTGGAGATGCTACACTATCTGTGTAAGTCACAGCAAATTACAAAATATGCATTAGTATTTCTGTTGTCCATTGAAACTCATTTGACTTTTGTATTCGGTAGTCATGACGAATCAGAGAAGCGCCTCCCAAAATCCTGCCTTGTGCTGCTGTGTAAATATGACCCTGTTCTGCGCTGGAGTCGCGACTGTGACAACAGCCTGTACCAAAGCCTGGTGGAGATTCTCATCCCAGAAGTCCTACGGCCTATTCCCAGTATGTCCACTGTAGACACATCACACCACTTCTACATTTTATGTTTTCCTGCAACTTCAACATATTTTTAAGATAAGATAAGATAAAACTTTTCTCACAATGGAGACATTTTTATAATGTCTGCTAAGAATTTGCCTGTATAATGACCTTTTAAAAACGTTTGTTAGGTGCCTTAACCCAAGCAATCCGAAACTTTGCCAAGAGCCTTGAGAGCTGGCTTACCAATGCTATGATGAATATTCCTGAGGAAATGGTTCGCATAAAGGTATGATTGCTGTTTTCAAGGCCTTTAGTTCATATCATAATATAAAATAACGAATAACTTTCCTAGGTTACATCAGCAAATGCATTTGCCCAGATGCTGAGACGCTACACCAGTCTGAACCATCTGGCTCAGGCAGCTCGAGCTGTGCTCCAGAACACAGCTCAGATTAACCAAATGTTGTCAGACCTAAACCGCGTAGACTTTGCTAATGTGCAGGTACGTGTATTACGAGCCCTTCAGAGTCTACAGCCTCACATGTGATGCCGGTGTCCAAACCAGTCCAGGTTTTGGCTGCTGTGGCTGCAGGTTTTCTATCAGACCCAAGAGGAGCAGAGCAGACTCAATCCATTTCCTCAAATCTTCAGGTAGACTGAACTCACTTGAGAAAATGGGTGGAGTCTGCTCTGCTCCTCCTGGGTCTGATAGAAAACCTGCTGCCACAGCAGCCAAAACCTGGACTGGTTTGGACACCGGCATCACATGTAAGGCTGTAGACTCAGAAGGGTTAAATTTAGGTTGTGAAAAATAATCTGTATTGAATTACTTCTTCTGATCACTGTTTGCAGGAGCAAGCCTCATGGGTGTGCCGGTGTGAGGACCGTGTTGTCCAAAGGCTGGAGCAGGACTTCAAACTGACCCTCCAGCAGCAGAACTCCCTGGAGCAGTGGGCAGCATGGCTCGATGGTGTGGTGTCCCAGGTCCTAAAGCCCTATCAACACAGTCCTGCCTTTCCAAAGGCTGCTAAGCTTTTCCTACTCAAGTGGTCCTTCTACAGGTACACAAGAATAAAAAAATTCATGTCTGATGACTTCAAAGTCCAAGCATTCTCAAAGCTTATAACCCATAGCTAAAATACATGTTATTCTCTGAATACATTTTGTGTTTCAGGTTTATTTATGGAAGTTTACCTTCTTTTTTTAAAATTCAAAATATATTTTTTTCTCTGGTCTCACATTTTTCATATAGTCTTTTAGCCCTGAGGATGGGATTTTTTTGGAAATACCAAGTAACACATACATCACATTTAAAAAGCAATGTCAAAAAATGTAAACGATAAGATAATATTGAAAGTATTTATTCATATGAAAGATATTTGTCATCTAGCCATGAATACTTACACAATGCATAGTATATTACCTATATGTTTGAATCTTGAATCAATCTGAACATCAACTTGGATTGTAACATTTGCTGCATATCTGCTTCTTAAAGACTTATTTTTCCCTCCTCTCCCCAGTTCCATGGTGATCAGGGATCTGACCCTGCGCAGTGCGGCCAGTTTTGGTTCCTTTCACTTGATCCGCTTGCTGTATGATGAGTACATGTATTACTTGATTGAGCACAGAGTGGCCCAAGCTAAAGGAGAAACTCCTATCGCTGTCATGGGAGAGGTACCATCACAAACACCACACACACTGTACATGCTCAGTCACTGTCATTGATAATCTATTGGCTAGAGACGTGTACATTATAATTTGTACATTATTACGTAAACAACACTTGATTACTTTCATTTAATTGTTGTTGTCATGAAAATATTACTGTAATGTGCTGCTTAGAGCAATACATAGGGATCATGCTGGGGTCTATATCCATGTATTGCCTGGAGTACATTTTGGTATATTTTTCACAAAGATACAGTTGTTAAAATTTATTAGATCTTTAAAAAAGATAATCCCTGTGCAATATATTGATGATTGCCTGTGTCAGGAAATGTATGATAACTTATACTATATTATATTATAGGAAGTCTTTATTTTTGAAACATGTATCAAATCTAAACATAAGGGACAAAAGCTGGTGTGCAGAGATAATGTGCAACTTGATAAAACTCTTTTTTAATTTGATAAGTCGAGTATCGAACGATACATTTGCATACAGATTTGAAGACTCTGACATTACCACCATTCTTTTCAATAACTTCCATCCACTGTTAAGATAAAGTGAAGTGTACCACATTTTTTTTTTCATGTCCCGTTTTCAGCCACAATTATGTCTCAGAGACATAAGTTGCATTATAGAATGTACACATAATTTATAATGCGGACCTGATTTAACCCATCCTTTCAACCCTTATGTCTTCCTCTATGTCTTTTGTCTTCCTTTACCAGGAAGACGTAGAGGGTACCGGTTTGAAAGAAATTACAATTTGGTTTCATAATTGGTCTGTACAAATTGGACGGGAAAATGCATGTTAAAATAATGTTTTATGTTTTCCAGTTTGCTAGTCTCAGCCGAGGGCTTAACCAGCTGGATCCAGACAAAGGTCATTACACTGTACATTTAAAACATTAATATTGCGTATAATATTTCAGAGAGACTTTAGTTTGACCGATTTATATTTTTATTCAGAAGACGAAGAGGAAGATGAAGAGGAGAGTGACGATGAAGGGCAAGAATTGTCTCTTCCAGCAGATGGCGGCATCCTGGGAGACGAGTCTCTGGAGCCTCCAGCCAAGCTGGCCAGAACTGATCAGAGAGTCCTCTTTGCCACCGGATCAGCTGATAACTAACCAAATAGGAGTGATGTCTCTTGTTCACACGCCGATGCACAAAAACACAAAGTCAAACATGTATATACATATTTATTTGTACACTTTTTATGTAACTGTCTTTTAACACATAGTAGTGGTGCTGCTGCTGTATTTCTAAAAATCCTGTGACCAATGATTCACCATCATTGGAAAGTTGTGGCTTCTACTCATAAGACTGTTGTGAACATCTTAACTGGAGGTTGCAAATATTTCTGTTTATTACATTGCGTCCTGCAGTCGTATAGTCACGTAGCTGAGAAATCCCTCCTCCTGCAACTGTCACTGCCGCCTCAAAGTGGTCGTAGGAAAAGTGCTTGTGTAAAGGTTATGTCGGTAAGAGCGTTTCAATGCCGTATGTATCTGTTAATAAGTTGGCACTAAATTATTTGAGTTCTACGCTTTTAAAGGGAACTCATGAGCAAAGTTCTTGAGACGCAAAAGGGTAATTGGTATTGTTGTGTGCACTTAATGATTGTTTTGTGTTTGTCTAAAAAAGCACTGAAGTCACACTGTTCGGGAGCCTTTATTGAAACAAACTTTCATTATTGTGTGACGAATGCTTGTACTGTACATATTTTGAAAAGGAGATTTTCATTTTTGTGATTTTATTTCCTGTAAAAATATTTTTCTTTGAGTGCCTGTCATAGGTGTTGTTTGGAACGCTCCTTTGCTGCAAAATCCTCTTGTAGAACAGCTGGTTCTATGGGAGGTTCTGTGTGTCATATTTATGTTTGCTCTCATTCATCTCACATATTTATATGCCTTATTTATTTATTTCTTTGTGCCATGCCTGGTTACTTTGCAGAAACCTCATTGTTCCTTATTATTTAAAAGAGGATTGTGCCTCATTAAGAACACTAATATAATTGTAAATGTATTCAATATTTAGTTGTCACTAAGTGAACCTCTCGTGCAGTGTACGTATATTGTCACATACAAAGAAATTGTTTGTGTATTATTGATTTATAATTGTTCTGTTTTAATCCTATTGATAATTGATTTTCCACACACAGGCTAGGACCCTGCCTCTTTGCACAGTTTTGTCTAAAATGTTTTGTTTTTAACAGTGAAGTGGAGCCTTCTGCACAGTCCTCATCAATCCACATCAAATCGCTTTAATCTCAGTGCTTTCTACTCCGTTGGTCTTGATTTGTTTTAATGTCCTCATTTTAACATTTAGTGTTCTTAAGCTGTGGGTTTGAGTGTGCAATCAGCGACCACCAACCCGTGAAGTGTGAATTTATTTTGGCTTTTTAAAGTGTATGACACAATGGATTAGTGGCAGTGTTTAATGAATTTGATCTGTAAGTATGACTGTGCCTTTGGGGGTGGTTCAATGCAATGCAGATGTTTTGAGTTTTACCTTATTGAAATAATTAAAACATTTTGCAAATGCCTTTCTTCATTGTATTAATAATTTAAAATACCTGCATATGATCAAACCAAAGATAATACAATGATGAAAAGTGTCTATATGCTCCCATTTTGTTATTTAAAAGTGCATTTGACCATGCAACTTTCCTGATGAAGTATCAGCTTCCTTTAACTCTTTCGCCAATGCCGCTGTAAGTGCTATGTTTTCAATACAATACATTTGCAATACTGAAAATCAAGATCAAGCGAGCTTTTGCCCTTCTGCTCCACGGGAGGTTTCTGTCCTCCCTGAGCTCGCCTTAGGACACCTGCGTTACTGTTTGACAGGTGTACCGCCCCAGTCAAACTCCCCACCTGCCACTGTCCCCGGAGCGGGTCACGCCCGGCGGGGCCGGGCGCTTAACACCAGAACCGAGAGCCCGCTCGGAGCTCGCCTCCCCGCCTCACCGGGTAAGTGAAAGAACGATAATACGGGGCGACAGTAGCTCAGTTGGTAGAGCATTGGCCTTTGAGCCTGAAGGTCGTGGGTTCGAGCCCACCTCAAGACCTACTTCACAACTCCCACTGATGACTGCTGTAGTTGTGTCCTTGGGCAAGACACTCAACCCCACTTTGCCTGAAGCCCCACTGAAAGATCTCAGCTCCTGTGGACTCACCACCTGCAGGAGGATCAGTGAGGGGCTGGTGCTCTGTGGACTGGGTGCAGCTCTGACTGCACCCCCCTGACCCAGAAATTGATTAAGGGGAAGAAAATGGATGGATGGATGGACATTTGCAATACAGTTCATTACACATTCATAAACATACAAATACACATTCAAACAGAAATCAAGGAGCCTGTTTTTGAGTAGAGACAGCTATAATAGGATTTTAATTTGTTGAAGAAGCAGTCCAAAGGTGGGACTTTCATTTCAGCCAACTGCTTACACTGACCAAAGGTCTGAGTGTGATGGCAATAAAAATATGATTGACAGCACAAACGCTTATATTTTACACGGTAGCGCCAGGAGGGGGCGCTGTGCTTCCTGTTTTGGCGGTGACGCATGTCCCGTTCAGAGCTCTGATTGGCGCAAAGTGTCATGTGCATTTGGCGCTCTTCGCTCACTCGCGGCTCTCCTGGCGCGTTTTCCAAAGAGAACCAGAAGAAACATGTTTATCGTCTTTATTTGACAACAACTTCGAAATGGACATATTTGAAGGAATGACTCTCTGCTGTTAGCGCCACAACGACTGCAATGAAGGGAATACTTGAGCTATTGTTGTCTCTTGGGACGAGCAGAGCTGAATTGAAAGCGCCACTGTGCTGTCGAACTGGCTCGTTTGTACTTCGTCTTTGTCCCATAAGTTTACACTGTGACGTACAGTTTTTGCTCTAAAGTTCAGTACGGGATATTCTGAGCGTCCACGGCTTTGTGAAGGTAAGGGCTGGTCGTTCGTTCTGAAGATAATACACTTCCCTATGCAAATGTTCATGTGTATTATTTTGTCTTGAATTAATCGAAGTTAAGTTTATTTTATACCTCTCTCGTCTTAAGCGAGGCGTAACACGTTTAGTTAGTTTTATTTACTGTTTATTGAACAGGGACTGTGTACAAATTCTTTAGTCTTTATGATACAGGAGACTTTTTGTACCTGATGGAGCTAATGTTACTGTCCATCTGAACTTTGCATAATGCATTGTGTAGCTGTTATTTAGAACATTTGTATGAACTGATATAATTCTTGCTGCTTACTTTTTAAGGCTGGTCCAGAATGGCAGGTGTTGTGGCTATGGCTTCTGTCATTGAAGAGTTTGACACACCGGTAACTGCACTTTCTCGTCTTCTGTCACAATACGCGATTATAGATGCCCCTAAGTGCTGTTTTTGTTTTGCAGCCTTGTAAAAAGACGTGCAAAGATGGTGGCAGTCCAGTGGTCAAAACAATCACAAATTACTTCTCCCCTGTGTCTAAACCTGCGGAAAAACCCTTTTCGCCTCCTCGCTCTAATAACATTATGGATTATTTTAACCGGAAAGGCCCTTCCCCTAAGAACAGAGTTCTTTCCCCAGAGCAGTCTAAAGAGAACTGCCAGAGTGGGAAAGATTCAGCTCCTCCACCTGTGTCCAAACCATCTGCTACAAAACGCAACAGGAAGGTGTCCAAAACAGCCAGAAGACTTGTAGAAACGACAGAAGACACTAGCTGCGTTATTGTGGAGGACATTGCTGCAACAGAAAACGGGACAGCATCTGGTGTTTTGGGCAGCGATACAGCTGTTTTACTTGAACAGATTTGTGCTGAATCTTCTGTATGTGAGGCATCATCTAACTTAAAAAGTGACAAGCATAAAAAATCTTTAATAGCCAAAAGTAGTCAACACTTAAAAAGCATAGAGCTATCTCCTATTTTGCCCCCAAAAGAAAAAAGTAAGAAAGGCAAAACCCCTGCTCCATCAAAGAAGAAGAAACGACAGAAAGATGAACTGCCTGAGCCAGAGCTAAAAGAGACTGATAAGTCGTTAGGTGACATAAGCATGGAGGTCAATCTAGGCGATGCCTCACAATTAAACAACAGCACGGTCACCATTTCTTTCGAAGATTTTGTCCGAAGTCAAGAGACCACAGAGAATGAACTTTGTAAAGAATTTGAATCTGTGTCTGATAATGAAATACCTATACTCTCCAACAAAGACAATCAGGAGTCTTGTCTTCAGACCTCACCACGTATGGTCACAATACAAGCAGAAGTGCATGCCAGTTTACCTAAAGTGAAGCGCAAAGACACAAAAAAAGTATCCTCCATCTTCAACAAAGATAAAAGCCATAGTCCCCAACAAGCGGCTTCTCCTCACTTAGAACCTGATCTCCATGTGCAGCCAATAGTATCAAAATGGAAATCAAACGTTGTTCTGGAAGAAAATGATGTTGAATTGTGTGTTCTTGAAAGTTCATCTGATCTCAAGTGCAGTCAGGCTGAAAGAAAACAGTTCATGGCTGCCTTCAAGCAACCTTCTGGAGATGGGGTTAATAACAAGCAGATTAAAGGCCAAGGGAAACCGAAGCAAACTAGGGATAAGGCAGCCAATGTCTGTGAAGAGGAAGCTGAAATTCAATGCGATGCTGTCCAGGAGATCAAATCACCGGACGTACAAATTAAAGCTGCAAAGAAACGTCAGAAGAAAGAAATTGTTAAAAAGAACACATCCTTGACACCTACAGCTTGTCCTGAGGAAGAGCTGGACATTGCCATCAAAACTGATTGTAAAAAGGAGGCTCAGTCTAATTCATCCCTTGCCCAAGCCGCGAGGAGGTCCAGACGAGAAGCTGTGACCAGACAAACTTCTATATCCAATGTCGTCGAGTCTTCCTCAAAACAAACAAGAAAACAGGTCTCCACTGAAGATGATTCAGTTTCCAAACAGGAAGACCTTGTGGACTTGTGCACACCAAAAAAGCGCAAGGGAAAACATGGTGTGTTCAAAGCTGAGATGACGTGCCCCCCGGATGAGATGGAAAGTCCTATAAGGTACTCAAGGCTATACTAATACCACAATGATTGGTGAGTATGTTTATAAGTGTGGTTTTAATATTTTCCCAGGATTAGATTTTCCAGAGTCAATAGAA